AGTGTGGATTTTCACGGATTTTTTGCAAACTTGAATGCTACCTCAGGGAAAAGTACATTAAAAAAATTATAATTCGTTTAGGAAAAAAACAATTGACAAATTTTTAGATCTAATGTTTGTGAACACGCTTGCAAAATAAACAATCAATTTCCATGAGCGATAAGTGTGGTATTCATTACGTAAGGCATGTCAACAAAATCCAATATGTCCGCCGTATCCATGGAAACGAAACTTTTTTCTCAAATTTGATTGCAGATTTTAAGACTCCTTATTATGCTTGTTATATGTGTGAAATTTGGTAAAATTCGGTCCAGTAATAGGCGAGATAGCCTTCAGGCGTAACCCCCCCCCCCCCCCCCCCCCCTTAAACAAAACTGTCTAAAGACATAGGCCTAGCGGTGAACAAGCAGGGAGACTGAATGTAGTCAGGCACCTACACTCCGTTTACTTGTGTTTCTAATCATAATCTTTGTTATTATGTACCTGCACAATGTATAACTGATTTTAAATAAAGATCTGTTATCAACAGCAATAATTAGGTTCATCACTTTCGATAGAATTTACCAATTTATTCCACACGTTGACGCTGAACATTTACAAGAACAATTTATAACGGTGTTTATGTACAAAAGGTCTACTATCAACAGCAATTTAAATTCATCGTTTTATCAATTCAGAACGACACCCACCTTTAGAAAGGGAGCACACAAAAGCGACAAATCATTAGCCAACAAGTTACAACGCAGTCAAACCTCGGACAGTTTTGTCGCACATGTACAAGCCAAGGACTACTATACTCAAGCGTATAACCTGTGGGGACGAAGTGAATCTCCAAATCTTCTTAATAAACTTAGACAGTTTGTCTTCATACTTCAGGCGGTAAGCGTCAAAATTTATGAATATTATTATTATTATTATTATTATTATTATTATTATTATTATTATTATTATTATTATTATTATCATCATTATTTTTTAAATTCTTATTATTATTACTATAATAATAATAATTATTATTATTATTATTATTAATATAATTAATGTAATTATTATGTTCATTATTGTCATATTATTTCCTACTTCCAGGGGTTAGTTATAAAGCAACAGGTGTATTATATCTTTTTCACAAGAATGTTTTGTCTGGCAATACATGTACTTTGCTTTATCTTAATTCGACAGGTGCCTATAATTCCCTTAATTTACAAGACAGTTTGGTCTTACTTCGATAGGCTCTACAATCTCCTTACGATCTCGTAACTCGTAAATTCCTACTCAAGACAGTTTAGTCCGCCTCAGCTTTGAACTCTGTAAAACCCACGCAAACAGTTCTGTATTGTCGTGGTAGTATGTAAGAGGGGGGAGGGGGGTAGGGGGGTGAGGAAGGGAGACAGACAGACAGACAGACAGACAGACAGACAGACAGACAGACAGACAGACAGACTTAGTAGCTCAACAGGTATCGTGTTCACCTGCCCGAGTCTGATCCCGGCCAGCGTCATATTTTTCTGCCTCCCCTGATCCCGTAGAATCGAGCACACAGTCTTCTCGGATCGGATAGGAACGAGCAATTATGGAACTTTTTCATACGAGTATGGGAAAGTTTCGCACGATTGAGGTCCAATTGAGGGTTCTAAAATCGAAAAGAGTAGGTAGAATGCGTGATGTCCGAGTTTTTCGTAGCAGGAAGTAGTGTTCCTTCATGAAAACGATGAGGCTGAGAACTTGTAGGAAAAATTCGTGATGTCTGATCTATTACATTCAAGGAATTATGAAGTAGCCGTCCACGAAAAATTCAATATTAGTTTCTAGTCAAAACTGAAGTAGGGCCTATATTCTTTGTAGGCCTACAATGTATTTCAAACACGAACATAACAAACTTTGTATACATAACGAAAAGATTTGTTTCACGCCGATTTCGATGTGCGAGCGAGACTGTGCATGTATATTATGACTACCCACTTCCAGTAACCCACCGAACTTTAGCAGTGGGTGCACAGAAGACGAAGTCATGGTAGTCATGGTAGACCAACTTTTCTTCTTCTTTTTTTTCTCTACGAGTCCAAGGTAGCGTCGACTAACACATAGCATTGCAACAACAAAAAGGTAGCCTACATGTACCTCACTGGGGTGACACAAGTTGGGCTGTATTTTTTTTGTGTGTGTGAAATGGTATAGGTGTAACGCTCCTATAACACTAGTAGAAGTACTAGTTACGCGACAGGGCTTCCGAGTTTAATACTATCCATCCCAAAAAAGATAGAGCCACTAGGATATTCGTGTAACATGCCATTTCCCAAGGACAACAAAGTCGGATCGAGCTGAAGCTGGAACCCCCGACCCCGCAATCGCACGACTGGAAGTCCAGTAACCTAGCCACTACTAGGCTACCGACGCCACAGGCTGCAGGCCTACAATGTATTATAATAGAGATGTCTTGCACACAAACCGAGTCTATTGCTATTTCCCTCGTTTTTCTATCCGCCTTTTAAAACGTCTCCAAAATGAGTCGTGTCAACACAATAGAGTCCAGAATCTGGCCAATGCAATATCGATGGTGACGAGCACAAGAGACTTCTTCAAAAATTTTCTAAAATCTGATTTTAACTTAACTTTGTTCTGGTGCCAAGTCAAAAACATAATCTAAATAAAAATAGAATTTCTGAGGACAGGCATTACCATACATATTGCAAGTTCCTTCCACAAGTAAAGAGTTGAATTTTTATCAAGCCCAGGACATGTTCCCAAATTAATGCTGGTGAGAGTTCAGGCCAGCAAGTAATTAAAAAGATGAATCTATTCCCCGTGAAGCAGTCTTAAACTCACCAAAAATAATTTTAAAAGACTGAAATATTTATTTCATTTTCCAGGAACAAAAACACAAAAATTCTGAACATTGGTGAGCATCCTCTTTATTCATAAACAGCAGTATTGTGAAAAGAAACTAAAGCATCAGACAAACATAGGTGCTCATCATTTTCTTTCTGAAACCAAAAAAAAAATTGGGTAAGTGTTGGTCCTGGTATCCTATCTATATCTATAGCATTAGATGAGCTATTAGAACGTCCATAGTTCTGGTGTGGCCTGCCTTGACACTGGACATAAACAGGACCAGCCCTCGAAAAAACTGACTTCCCAAAGTGGGAATCAAATCCAGGATTTTTTGCATACAAGTTCAAGCTGTGAAAGACTTTTATAGTAAACTGAATATTTGTCAAAATATTTATTCCAGTGCATGTTCATGGTTAAGTGTAAAGTATTGTTCTTAAACCATAATTTTTTGCTATACATTCTAATAGAATTTCTAAATATATAAAATGAAATGCCACCAATGGCGGAATATTTCAAAGGAACAGAACAGCATGCAAAATATCTCAATTATATTTATACATTATGCAATACAACGTTTCAGATTCTGGGAAGCATAGTAAAAATATAATGGCAATGTCTGAAGTATAATATGTACATGTTGATGCTCTCGGCATTACCAACACAATACAAATAAATGTAGTTTTGTTGTTTTTTTCTCGCCTTGGGTAACAATGATATGGTTGGTAGTTTTAGTAGAGGTTTTACGGCGCTCGCACCTGTATATGGTCATATGAGCGCCAGAAGATTAGAGGTGTTACAAGAGAGAAACAAACATAAAATGGGTAAAGAAATGAACACAACAAGCATCTCATAGAACATTCAGTCAAAACAAGTCTCAATGTGTACCAAAGGGTTATGGTGTCAATATCTTAGTGGCCAGCATGGGCTGTTGTATCGAAAATGTTAAACGTGGGTGGTTGACAATGAATTGAAGATGAACAAAGAGAAGACAAAATTATTTCATGTATTGTGTATGTAACACCAACAAGACGTTTGAACTCAGCAGCACTGTTAACATTAGGATAACAGGATAGGATTATTTGTTTTGGTAAGTGTTTTACGACGCTCGCAACTGCATTGGGTCATATGAGCGTGCGGGACACATTAAACATTTTCACTTGGAAAGAAATTTTGACTTTTGCGCGGGTGGCAGCAGAAGCCTACTCTTATCGATTTTAGACCACCAAAGGATCTTTAACAAGCGCAACTTGCACACAGGTCCTCCGAGATTTTTCGCCCTTGTTCGAGAAGGCTAGGTGTAGATCTTTCCTACCAGAAGATCAAGGGTGTGACTGAAAGACAGCAGTAAGAAGGAGCCAAGAAGTAGCAGTAGAAAGGCAACAGGAAAAGTCAGGAGCCCAGAGGAGGGGGTAAAAGATGTGAGGGGGTGGGGACAGAAAGTAGAGACATAAGCAAACGACAGAACTTTGCTAGAGAGCAGGATAGGAGGTGAAAGGAAGACAATTTTAGAGAAGAAAATTTTTCCATTGTTACGCGGATTCGAACCCAGTACCTTTGAATGAGAGGCAAACACCTTAACCTCTCGGCCACGAAAGCCTCCAGGATAGGTTTTGAAAATATTATTACTTTTAGTGAGAAGTCATAGTAGACCACCAAAAAATGGGTATTTACTTTGACCATAAACCGCATTGTGAATTAAGAACAATGGGTTAAATTTCTCATCTTTAGGATCAAAATTCTTTCCAAATTATCATTTCAACATTTCTTTTATCCAGACCTGAATTTGATGGCTGTAACTCATTTAAAGTCTGGAAATGACTGCAGAGTTATCAAAATAGAGCTGCGTTAATGTTCTTCTGAAAAATCAAAAAAAGAACTCATTGCACCGTATTAATAAAAAGCTATACTGGCTACCAGTTAATGTTAAAGCTAGAATTGATGGCAAAATTGCTCCCACAAGTGCATGTTTGTTTTTGTTTTGGTGAGCATTTTATTGCACATGCAACACAATTAGGTCATATAAGTGCCAAAGATTATAGGTGTTACAAGTGAGTAGTTAATGCAAACAAGGAGGAGAGATAAGGACAATCGACGTTTGATAGGAAAAAAGGAGCAAACCACATCAGAGCACCCGCCAACCACTCACCCATACAAGCGTATGAACAACAAAGCACCACACGACTCTTTATTTACAATAACCTTATTGGTACATCATCAAGACTAAGGCACAGTGGACAAGCAAGTTATATACATGAAAATACAAAGTCTTTCATAAAAATTTCATTTTAAAAAGCTGGAATATATGTTTTTCCCCAAGCAGGAAGCAGTTCCTGAAGACTGTCAGTTTGAGAATTAGTATGGCAGAATTCGTGATGTTTGATTTCTTCATAGCAGGAAGTAGTTCCAACCGTTAGTTTGAGAACTGGTAGGCAGAACTCGTGATGTTTGATCTATCAGATTTAGAGAAATATAACTTAATACTCTTTTTGATAACACATTTGAACACAACATGTCCCATAAACTCTATGTCCAGCACGTCTGTTTGGTAAAATGTTCAGTACGCTGGTTTCAGATCACAAAATCCTCCATTCTGTCAGCTGCTGTATTATTTTTTCAAGTGGTCAGTTGGGTGGGTGTGTCTGGGAAAGTTCCAGTGCCTGAGAGCTTTATTAAACAACAACTGCTACACTCAAGCATAAAATGTATTGCTTTGAAAACCCAGTGCCAGTGCAAAATCTGCTCCACAAAGACTAGTAAATGCCAAGTTAATACAACAATATTGGATGAATAACTGCACTGAAAAAATGCCAAGTGGAAAAGAAAGGCCAATCGCCTTTGCTTCGCAGACACTCACAAAGACAGAAACAAATTATGCCCAGATTGAAAAGGAGGCACTAGGAATCATGTTTGGAATCCACAAGTTTCACCAATACATGTTCCTCTACGGAAGATCCTTCACGCTGATCACTGATCATAGGCCTCTTCTAAAGATTTCTGGACCAAAGATAAACCTACCTGTTATGGCTGTTGCCAGGATCCAAATATGGTAATTGGAACTCACCAGTTACCAGTACGAAATCCAGTACAGGAGAAGTCAAGATCACTGCAATGCAGACATGCTGTCAAGACTGCCACAAAAGGGACAGAGTCAGAGAATTAAAAGGACAAATTAGTCTATTTTTCTTACATCATATGACATGCCTATCTCTGCAGCTGACATTGCAGAAGAAACCAGAAAAGATGCAGTATTGTCAAAGGAGCTGCAATATACACTGACTGGGTGGCCAAATTGCATGGAGGATGACAATCTCACGCCATTCTTTCAAAGAAGGGAGGATATTACCACAGAGGCAGGAGTTCTTCAGTGGGGCCTGAGAGTGGTCATACCTCAGAAGTTTCGAAATAGAATCCTATATGAACTACATGAAGGACATATCAGAATGAACAAGACCAAAGCAATGGCTCGTTCATATGTATATTGGCCAAAGATAGATCTGGACATTGAGAAGATGGTCAAGGACTGTCACAGATGTGCAGAAGGGAAGAACATGCCAGCGCCGCTCCGGTATTCACATGGACATTTCCGTCAAAACCATGGGAACGGGTTCTTGTGGATTTTGCGGAGCACGAGGGTCAGAAATATCTCGTGCTAATTGATCTTACTCAAAATGGCATGAAGTAGTACCGACGACAACAACGACAGCACAGAGAACAAATGATGTGCTCAGACAGATCTTTGCAATTCATGGATTGCCTGTCACATTTGTCAGTGATAATGGCCCACCATTTCCGTCAAATGAATTTGAAGAATTTCTTCAGAAAAATGGTCTCCAGCACATAACATCACAGCCTTACATGCCTTCAACAAACGGATCTGCAGAGAGACTTGTTCAATCATTTAAGAGACTCATAAAATCATCGAGTCCAGGACAAAGTGGACCGCAAAGATTGTCCAAAATCCTGTTAAAACTCAAAACAACGCCTCCCATGATGACTGGCAAAAGTCCAGCAGAACTCTTATTCAAGAGAAAGATAAGAATCCGGTTGGACCTGATGAAGCCTGATCTCGTGTCTAACATGCGCCACAAGCAAGAAGCTCAGGCCCAAGGCAAAATCCTCCATGAATTTCAGCCTGTTGACTCTGTCAAGGTCAGAAACCACCGGCCAGGTGTAAATAGATGGGCAAATGGAGTGGTCTTACAGAGACTGGGAACCCATAGTTACTCTGTTCATGTAGGTGGAACGGTGCGACACTGTCGTATCAACCAGCTGCAGTCTGCTCCAGACTCAACTGCAGATATCAACGAATTACAGTCTCCGCTACCTACCGTCCCAATGTTACCAATGGGTCAGGATGAAGAACCAATGACCATCAATTGTTAACCCTGACACAATCCAAGACACCACTCAAGGACAAGCGTCACCACAACGGTCACCACTAAGACGTTACCCAAAACGTGTCAGAAGACCAGCTCAAAGAAAGGACTTATAACTCTCTACACTAAAGTGAATGGACTGTTAAAATCAAAAACATTCTCAGTGAAAGAATGGACTTGTAACTCTCTACATAAAAGTGAATGGGCTGTGTTAAGGATAAACGTTCTCAGTGAATTAATTTCAGATGTGCTATTTAGTATTAGAGTTAGAGACATGAAACAAATTATACCGAGGGACTCAACTCTGAAGGGACTAATTGTGTTACAAGTTATAAGTGATTAATTCCCTTGCATCATAATGTGCACATAATATTACCGTACTATTGTTTTCAGTCAGTGAAACAAAGTTAAGTTTAGTAAAGCCTATCACAGATCTTAAGAAGTCAGTATTAATGGAATTGGAATGAAAAGTTTCCATCAACTAAGGTATTATTGTTACAGAACCAGTAAGGCTAGAATGACCAATTATGAATGTCCATGATAGGTTAAAGTGCATGTAACTGTTTTTGAAATGATTCAAAATTTTAAGAAAGGGAGGAATGTTGTAACGGAAAGTAATCGCGATGTAACATTATAAGTACCCACTTTCAGTGTTGCATAACGAGTTCTGTAATCATTAGTACCGGTATCGTAGAGAGCAAGGAAAAAGGAAAAAAAGGACACACAGAACAAAGAGATGTCAACGGCAACACAAGCCACAATCATGTTACGTTTTAAGTCTTATTAAACCCTGGAACACAAACCGAGAAGTTCCTTATTTATTAATGTTTAATGTTGTTGGTGTGCTTGACTGTTCTCAAGAAGAATATACAACAATGAGCATAAGACAGTATTAAAGATCTCCCACTCCTATATCAACAACTTCTATCTTTCAATATTGTGAGTCTTGTCTTTCATTTTCAAACATGCCAAAATCTCCCATGGCAGCCCAAGACCATACTGTGAAATGCAACAAGGTAAGAAAATCAGGTTAAGCCTTTCCCATAGCCAAACATGCCAAGCATAATCTGAATCAGGAAAAGACAGGATCGAATTACCCAGACTTGTTAACTTGAACTTTAAGCTCAAGTATATTCAGCTTCCTAAAATTATTTCTTTCTGTAATGGCCAGATCCTCAAATCCTAGTCATACCATCTCACACAGCCTTTAAAACACATCTTGAGAGAAAAACTGTATCCAGTTCAAAACAATAATCCTTGTACTTCAGCTGAAAATGGTGCTTTCAAGCTGCTGATCAAAAAAAAAAAAAATTTTAATGGAGAAGCTAGCATGACACAAAGATGAATTATTTCCTCTCATCAATATAATGTCAGCATTGAAATTACTCACTATTACAAAGACAACAAAATCTGTCACAAATTAAGCAGTGACCAATAATTGGGCTGTAGAGCAGACAAATTAGATCTACTCTGACATAAAATCCATCAAGGCAGTCTTCAAAGGAAAAAAAAGACAGAGCCAAGTCAGAGAGGAGGTGGGAAGAATGCAGTGGCAATGGATTGGACATACTATCAGGAAGTTAAGCAGCTGCATAACATGGAAAATGTTGGACTGGAATCCGCATTGTAAAAGATCAAGGGGATGACCACGTGGAACCTGGAGAAGAGTCACAGAAATTGACGGGAAAAAAAGTGGGAAGACATAGAATAACATGAAAAGGTTAGCCCAGGATAGGGAAAAGTGGAAAGAGTTTATTCATGGCCTTGACCCTGACCTAGAGTGAGAAAGGCAATGATGATGATGATTATGATGATGATGATGATGATATGAAACAAAAGTTAAACAGGAAAATATGCTGAGAGAAAGAGAGAAGTATAAGCCAGATAAACAAAATCATGGTGAGTGTAAGGAAAAACCCCACATAAGCCTACTAAAAAAACCCAACAAAGTTGGGAGAACAAAAGAAAAAGAAAAACCAATGAAAACATAAGAAAGGTGAAAGATTTTTCTTTTGACACAGCAAGAAAAATAAACCACCCTCAGAGCAGTTCACTAAAGTCTGATGTCAGCCCAAGAAATCACCAAAAACAAGAGAGAAATAATTCGAAGCCATGATCAATCAAATAATTTGAACAAGCCTAATCAGGCAAAAAATGAATTTAAGGTTGTTTTTTTACTGAACATTTGGGAAGGAAGGTAATACATTTTCTATGGAGACATGAAAAGTTTTTCGCTCCCGCGACAGTCAGCTACATACAGAGTACTCTAAAGGCTGACATGGGCGGACAAGTAACTATGGGTTCTGAACGAAAAACAAAGAAGAATGTTTATCAGAAGTAAAAGTCTCATCACCCTATTCAATAATGTATTTTTTGGTCTTATTTGGTAGCCACAGCATAGGGACATAAATGTCTTCCCTTGAACAGAAAAAAGCGAATTTAAAAAAAACTGCATTGCATTTTAAAATGGTATAGAAGGAAGACTCAACACTCCAATGGCAAAACAAGAAATGCAAACTACACTATAACCCGGATAGGTCGTACACGGATTACTTGAAATCACACATGCGTCGAACTGTGTTCCCTTTTTTTTTCTTCTTTATCTCTGTAAGAAAATTACGCGAAGCTCGAACACAAACACGGAATAGTCTAACTAATTTCGCCGGCGTAGGGGTCTAAAGTCAGTGTCCTTTGAGGTGCACTGATAATAATTTTTAAACAGGGAAAAAGGCAAGGTCGGTAAAATAACCATCTCCCTCCCACCTCCACAAAAGCAGCCAGTTGTGCTATTTTTAATGCGCTTACACGTGTGCCCTCTGCGAGTGCCTAAGTCCTAGGCTAGACGCTCAGAGTAAGAACGTTATGTATAGGTCGTAAGCCTAGCTAGGCTTGTGTGGAGAGGGCGAGAGGAGGGGTTGGGCATCACACAATCCGCTCACACTGACCCGCCCAATTAAACTGTCTTGGTACCAGTAGTAGTAGACTCATTACCGATCAAACACAAAAGCATTGCTTATCGTGTTTCTCATTCTCAATCTCTGTCAATTTCAGATTCTCTCAAATTTCAAATTCAAGTCAATAGGCATAGATAGATCTAACCTATCTGATCTAGGACAATGGCCGAAAAATGAACAATCTCTGCTCTGACCCAATAGTATCTTTGTGGCTTCCCTTGATTCTCTGACATAGCAGATGCCATAACACTGTCCATGTATCCCTTGAACTACTGAGACCAGTCCCGACGAATTCAAGCAATCCGTGTTATACTGTATATCTAAAATAATCACATGAACTATGAAAATAAGAAACAATGGAAGAAACGACAAACAAAATACAGCAAACAGAAAAATAGCTGTCACAATTTCCCACACACACACTCTCCTCCCAGACATAGTGTAGCTATTTTCATGAACTCTTGAATTTGTGCACATGAGTCCAGCTGTTTCCAAACAATTCCAGAAATAGACGGCAGGAACTTTCCTCATTCTGAGACAGTAACAGTCAGGTTGACACAAACCATTTCTTGTCTGTCTTGGTTCTGTACCTTTAAAACTGCGACGTATTCACCCTAATTAAAGAAAACAAAACTAGATATTAGAAATTATGTGCCAGACTGTATACATTACTCCCTTCCTCCCAGTGAAAAAAAATAGTCTTTCACCTTACACAAGTCTACATCATCAACAAATGGTTTCTACAAATAAAAAGTGACTGTTATGCAAACAACTAAAACACAACTTAAGTTCTGTTCTAGAAGCTGTTGAATATTTTAATCCCAGTAATAGTAAAAAAAAAATTCTGGAGGGAGCATACAATATTTGATGTGCTATGCAAATTTTATTCTTACTAAACTACATCATTTGGGGATTAAATTTTTTAGCAAGAGTTTTACAGCACTCGTAACTGCATAAGGTCATAAGACCGAATGAAACATGAGTTATACATTCACAACAGTTCACAGCACGGCTTGATTTTGGCCAATATTTCGATTAAAATGTTAAAAATTCATGGTAAAAAAATTCTTCATTTTAAAATAACATTTGAAATTTTAATAACATTATTCATAATCTATTGTAAAGCTTTACAAAATCTAGAATTCTGTTCGAACCAACGACAGAGAACAGATCTTGCAATTTTTGGCATATAAAACATTTCCTCCGGGTCTTTCCACAGACACAAAGGTCTTACTTTACCAACATACCAACTTTTAAGATGTGTCTAATGGTAAAATCTATGTTGCATCCAACACAGAACAGTTTTTCATCTCCCTGGAGGAGGTATTTAGGTGTCAGAGAGGTGTGTCCGATATGTAATCGAGCAAAAATGACTTCATCTCTTCTGGAGAGTCCCGACGTTTTTTGTGGACCCAGTTTGGGAATGATGGTGTGAAGTTTATTGTTAATTTTTTTCTCCCAATGTGTCTCCCCCAGACCGTGGGAGTAGTTTTTTACCTTATTTTTAAAGTGTCTGGGGAGAGTGTTTATCGTTTATCTAAATAGAAGAGACAAAGATTCCTTCGCCAGGAGACCCACCTGCTCGTTTCTTCGGATGCCCACATGGCTAGGCATCCACGCGAACACAATATTTTTCCTGGTTTCAGTCAAAGCGTGTATTGTATTTTTTGTTGCAAGCTAACTATTTTTGGTTGTATGAGTGTGTAGCTTGTACGTGAGGTGATGTAAGACAGAGAGTCATATAGGATATGAAAAGATGTGTTAGGGGAATTTTTTTCGGAGTCCAGCAGTGAACTCTGCAGAGAAAATGGAGGCTTCAGGATGGAGTCTCCTCTGTTGTGTATTGTTCGAAGATAGGGTGGCGTCTCCACAGTAGAGTCCGATTTAGAGCCATCTGTGAAGATTAGCTCCCTACCCGGGGTATTTTTTAATAAGTGTTTTGTATAATGCTTTAAACATTTTGGTGTTTGTGCTTGCTTTGTTGTGTGTGGTGAGCTCCAAGTCTATTTTTGCCTTGGTGACGTGCCAAGGAGGGAGGTCGGGGAAAGGAAATTGTTCAATGCCTTGTTTGGAGAAGTGTATGTTTTTGAGGTCCTCAAGGACTCTGAGGCCGAAAGGTTTGATGAGTTTGTCGTTGTTGTTCTTGAATCTGCTTATGAAGCCTAGGTGTGTTCCGAAAATGTAGCCATGTGCTGGGTGTAGAGCTCTGTCTGACTGCGTATTTTAGTGAGAGTTGTGTACGTTTGAGTGTTAGTGATGGTATGTTTGCCTCGGCCTGGAGGCTCTCCCACTGGAGAAGTGTGGAAAGCCCCCAGGGCTAGGCAGAGTCCTTGGTTTTGTACTGAGGACATGAGGTTTTGCCGATCCATAGACTTGACAGCCGTAGTCAAGCCTGAATCGGACAAAGGAACAGTAAAGGTGGAAAGTGTTGAGAGTTCCCGTCCCACTCTGGACACGATAAATTAAAAATCCACACGAATGTCTTTTATGTGTGGAATGAATGTAAATTTTTTGTCAAATATAATTCCGAGGAAACTGAAAAGCCTGGTCCTGGACGGGAATTCTTTCCCCGTAAAGTGTGAAATCCGGCTGAAGCACGCGTCTGCCTGATCGGCAGAAGTGTAATGCAACTGTCTTTGACGAGGAAAACATGAAACCTTTTTCATTTGCACACTTTTCAAGTTCATGCAGCTGCGTTTGCAACAGCCTTTCCACAGATCTTAGTAGAGGATTTTTGAAACGGTAGCAAATCAGGAAGTCGTCAACATATAACGAGCTGTCCATGCTATTTTGGAGGGTCTGAACGATGGAATCTATTTTGATTTCAAAGAGGAGAGGAGAAAGAATGCTTCCCTAGGGCACACCTTTCTCCTGTTGGTGGGGGTCTGAAAGGCAGGATCCGACACGAAACTGGAAGGAACGGTTCTTCTGGAAATTGCCAATGAGGGCAAGGAGATGACCGCGTAGGCGGATAGCGTGAAGGTCTCTAAGAACGCTGTACTTTCAGGCTTTCTCTGGGTCAAAAAAGATGGCGACCATGTGGCCTCTTTCGGCAAACGTCTCGAGTATAAAAGTCTCCAGGCGGACCAGGTGATCCAGACTGGATCGAGTTTTCCTGAATCGGCACTGGAGACTGTTCAGTGAGCCCGTCGTCTCTAGAACCCACATGAGTCACCTGTGAATCACTTCTTCTTCTAGTATGCACAGACAACTTGTAAAGGAGATTGGTCTGTAATTGGATGGGAGTGTGTGGTCTTTGTTTGGTTTGGGTATTGGAATAACAGTGGCGAGTCGCCAAGACTTCAGAAAGGTGTGCGACTCCACATGTCGTTGTATATGACTAATAAAAGTAAGAGTGTTTCTGTGAGTAAATGTCTAATGATTTCGTTGTGGATGTCATCCGGACCTGGGGCTGTATTGCCCATGTCCGAGGTGCATGCTGTTAGTTCGTCTAATGTGAAGTCTGCATTGTAGGATTGAGGGTTGTTTGAGTGGAAGTTTAGGTGTTGTTGTTCTCTGTTAGTTTTGATGTATTGGAAGGTGATGCTGTAGTTTGCTTTGGATGAATTTTTGGAGAGAGATGTAGGTATAGTGCTTGCAATGTCTACCTGTGATTCTGATGTGGTTCCATCCGGCCTCTGAACATGCTGAACGGTGTCTTGTGCGTCTACCCATAATTTTTTTTAGCTATTTTGAAAACTTTGTTGGAAGGTCGCTGTAAGATGTACTTGTCCGTGAAGTGTGTCGTTGTCGATGTAGATGGTGGTTCCACCCGAAGCAATCTGATTCTCCATATGAATATGATGATAGGCAGAAAATCCTCTTAAGTCTCTGGCCTGTTACTTGTAAGTGTTGCAATTCTGCAATGGAAGGTCCGCGTCCGCTGGCATTCCATTGCAGAACTGCCATTATGAGGCCTTTTTAGGTTTGGAGCACAAAGGCCTCGGCTTCCAAACACAGAATCTTTCTTGTGGAGGAGGCAGAGGGTTTGCGAGGCCGCCGTTCTGGATTGGGCGGCAGCCTACTGAGGGATTTGGGAGACGAGTGACAGACCGGGGAGGGGGATCGGAGTTGTCATCCTCCATTGGTGGGCTAGTGTCTGCTGAAGGGCTGGGGAGAGGTGGAGCAGACAGAAGGGACTGGGAAGAAGGAGGGGGGGAACACCTCATACTCCATTAGAGGGGTGGGGCGTGAGGAGGAAGAAGAAGAAGAAGGGATAGAAGAGGGGGAGGGGAAGAAGAGGGGGCAGAGGAAGAGTCAAACCCGTCCTCCCTTAGAACCAAAAAACGGTTAGACAGTGGCACCTCGATGGTGAGTGCCACAGGTATAGCAGGAATCTTTTTTTACTTGGGTACAAAGACTTGCCTGGTAACCGCGGGCTTTGGGGGGTTGGCAGTTGAAGTACTGGCCGACCTTGTGACCGGACAGACTGCTTAAAATTTTGCGCATGACCAGCCAGAGAGCGGGGTCCCAACTGGCGGGCAGACAGTCTTTCGAGCCTCCTGAAGGGAGCAGCCATTTTACACTTTGGTTTTCTTGGATTGCGCGTTCTTGGATCCAAGTCGGGCAATCCTTGCTGAAGGCTGTGTGCTGACCGTGGCAATCTAGGCAGCAAGGACTAGCCTTGCATTCCTTTTCAGGATGCCCGGTCTTGCCACAGCAAGGACAAACTGCTGCGTTTCGGCATCGCGACTGGCTATGGCCGAACTTTTGGCACTTGAAGCAGCACAGAGGGTTCGGCTGCGGACAATGCCTTAAAAGCAGTACAATTTCTCTATCCCAAAAATGTGCATAGAATAGAACCGAAGGTCGTAGTATTCACGAGTTTGGTCACTTCTGTTTCCGTTGCACACTTGACAAGGAGTTCACCAGAGGACAGCTTCTGTGCATTTGTAGGGATGTATCCCAGCGTTTGTCTTAGTGCATCTCCTGCCTTGAAGAGATTTAGATCTGAGATTTTCTTCTGTGCGTCTTCTTTACTTGAGACGGCACTGTACAGCTGCAGCAGAAGCTCCCTGGGAAGAGGGAGGGCAGAGGCAGCCGTAAAGGTCCTTTTGGCTGTGGTGGTTGTTGGCTCGGCTCTATGGCCACACCCACTTCCGTAGGCCAAGACTTTTTATGAGCATTGGGAGCTAGAGAAGGGTCATTTCGTTTCTTATTATCCATGAGAATGTAATGGTTGGTTTGACTGCGGGGCTTCCCGCCCGCCACCAAGCCCAACAAGGGGACACATCACTCAGATATCAAGAACTGTGCCAGGGCTACCCCGGAGCTATACTCTTCACGAGAGTGTACGAGACCCTCCTGTCAAGATTGACCCAGGGACTGAAGGGGTTTCAGCTCCCAACCAATTGAGTGGCAAGGGCCGTGAAAAACCTGGGCCAAAGAGGTGTGTTGGAGAGGGACAGTCCAAAGACTGATCTCATCTCAATTGAACCTCCAGGTACCCGGTTTCCCCCGCACGGGTCGCACCTCACGATCGACAAGGCGCCCACTTTGTGGGATGGATGACCTCTAATTTTGCTCCACATGAGGTCAGCGGTGGAAGAAGAGATAGAAGAAGACAGAAAGAAGGAAGGAGAAGAGGAAGATACACCAAAGAAGATGTCGCACATGAATCCCAGAGGGTTGGGGTCCACGGGCGACATTTTGTTATTGGAGAGGTTTCACCTCCTGCAGATATGGGAGTGGGTCTATTTATAATGCCCCGACCAACGGGAAGCCAGATTAAATTGTCCTTTCTATGAATTCTCTTTATCTTCAGTGATGTTTCCATTTACCCATGTATGAGGCCTGTCCCAGAAGGGGGCTCCAGTGACTAAGTACTAAGTGAGTAGTGAGTTTAGACTCTCGAGTAAAGTCAAGTAAGTATCGGTGACACACAGATCAGATGAGTGGTCACTGGGGTGTGTCCTTGAGCAAGACACAACAATCCTAGCTAAAAAAAACCAGGACACAGCACAGTAGCGACCAGAAATGGCATTGTTGTGAAATAGTTCTGTATTGGTATAATAGTGGGTATTTGTGTATTTGTGTATGTATATATGTATATATTTATGTACGTATGTATGTATGTGATTATAATTATGTATTTATTTAAGTTTGTATGTTTGCCATTGTAAACCAAATTGCCCCTCTGGGGGTCAATAAAAGTGAGTTTATTGGGGGGGGGGGGGTTCAAAGCATTTCCCTGTTCTGTAAAATCATCAATTTTTATCTTACAGACGTGACATTTTGTATATACCTAAAGAAACATACTTTATATTTCTATTCAACATAGTAATGGTTGATGGTTGATCTCAATGCACTTTAATTTATCATCTGATGAAGCCAGCAGTCAAATGCAGTGACCATGTCTGCTTTGGCCAGAGTCCTTAGCACAGCAATTATTACTACCTCATCTCCAAATCACGGCCCCTTAGCCTTTCTTGGATTTTAGGAGAGAAATGAAAGTCGCATGGAATAAAGGGACATATTTTTTCAAATAAATCAAAACAGGCGATGAAACATGGGTATTTTTCTGGGATCCAGAACTGGAAAGGCAATCAACAAAATGGAGAAACCCAGGACCATTACGACCCCAGAAAACCTGAGGCAAGCAAGTTGCTTTAAAAGTGATGCACATCATGTTTTTTTTTATCAGAAAGGTGCGGTTTTGAAATGGCCGGTTCCTGTTGGCACAATAGTCAATGCTGACTATTACAAGATGGTTCTTCATAAAGCTGACATCAGCAATAAGAAGAAAGTGACTGGGTATGCTTGAGCAAGGTGTTGTCTTCCATCTCATGGTAATGCACCTGTGGACATTTCTTGAAAGGTCACTGATCTCCTGGACTCCTGGCAGTGGGAAATCCTTGAACATCCTTGCTATTCCCCAGACTTAACACCATGCGACTTTCATTCTTTCCCAAAAATCAAAGAAGTAATTAGGGGCAGTGATTTGAAGACAAGGATGAAATGGTGCTCCAAACAAATGCTTCACTAAGGACTCTGGCCAAAGTGGACATATCACTGCGTATGACCAGTGGCTATATCAGTTGAAAAAGTGCACTGAGATCAAGCATATTATGTTGAGTAGAAAACATGTTTCTGTATGTACAAAATTCCATGTCCCTAAAATAAAATAATTAATTTTACAGTACAAGGAAACTTACTTCTGGGACAAATTACCCAGCAAGAATCTCTATACAGCACATTTATTCGATGAAACATGAGGGTTTAAATATGTACCTGTAGCAACTCAAAATATGTGATTTTTCCTTGAAAGTACAGTGTAACTCGGATGCAACAAAAACTCAATTCAAATCTCAACGATAGGAGAACCATATTCAACAAATACCTAAATTTGCATATTCATACTCAACTAATCAACTCGAAGGATTAGCCCCCCCTGGCTTTGAGCATTTTTTATCTACTCTATACAATACTCTATACCACGAGACCACATTTCGCCGTGCACCCTGAATTATTACATGCTGCTTGGACTATTGCATATCATACATTGTATACAACGACTGACCTTTCAGAAACAGACACCCACTATATGAGACCAATTAGAAGCTTTCTTTCCCACCAATACACGCACTGTTGATGTGCATGAAACATGGGTCTTAATTGTTAGAATGTGCTGGAGTTAGGTGCGGTCAGATGGGCAGCCAGGACATGTGTGGCTGTTTGTCACTGTACTTCAGTAAGCAGCACTCAATAAAGTAGATATATGTGTCCATTTATATCATCAAAGATACAAATAAAGTATAATCTGCCACTTCTACTCAGAAAACAATGTGATTCAACAATAACAGCCATATTATCTACTACTGTGACCATGAGATAGTCCACCTTTTATCTATTTTCTTACCAGGTAACTGGAAATCGCCCGAATATTTGATATTATCTCAGTTTTATTTACACGATCTGGGGGAAAAAAAGGAAAAGTGAGAATACACGCCCATGAATACACAGCAGTGTTATCCCCATTATACTAAGCACACATTTGTTGCATATGTGTAAATAATACAAAAAAGGTTAATTCTCTCTTTTCGCAAATTACTCAATTATTGTCAGCCAATCATTGTCAACAAACAAGCTCTTTATAATTACTCTCCTACACCTGCAAACCATTCCATGACCAGAAAAAGGATTTTCCTCAAAATTCTCCCCAAAAAATGGAGTTTAATTTTTTCTAAATCAGGGTCTCCAGAACCCGAGTAGATGGAAGATCAATAACAAGCTGACCGTGTAAGATCACATGTAGTGCAAATACTGTAGACAGATAAAAGCAAATAAAAATAAGCATTTTCTCGTCATTAATGATCTGTCCCAAAGCAGGACAAATAAATGCAAATAAAAATGTATATTCATGTCACTTATTACAAGTCTCCAAAACAGGGTAAATAAACACAAATAAAATTGAGTATTTTCAAATCAGTTACGACAAGTCACACACGACCAGAAGAAAACAGGATTTTTTTAAAAATCCGATTTCATTCAACTCTAATTTAAGTCCTTTGATGGGAAGGGGGGATTTTGATAAGAAAACTCAGAGATTTTATCATTGTATTTGGCAGCTTTGTTCTCCATCTCCAACAAGATTTGAAAAAGTCCTGCTGCTACTCTGTACACAAAGAACAAATTTCCAGATCCAGAAATCATTGTAACAGATAAGATTCTCCATCCTACATTTTATACTTAAACAGCAACAGAACTGCACGTACTTTACAGTAATCCATTACACATGGCCTATCTTCTCCAAATTATACTTAAAATACAAATAAAATAGGTTTTCGACAGAAAAAATAAAAACAGAAATAGACAAGACCGACTGGGTCCTAGATACGGTGTCAAATCAGAGCAAACGCACCAGAAAGTAATTTCTATTCAGCATCATATTCAACAAAATAGCTTGAAGTAAACTGGCATTCTATTTTTTCAATAAAACATTAAGGACAAAAAGCAACAAAAGTCGAAGGCATCAAACAAGATAAGTAACTATCAAGACAAAATACAAACTCAGATCTGCCAATTTTTCAGTGACTGAAATCTGATAAACTATCAGTTTTCAAAGACAGAAATAGGGAAAATGTGAGCAGAGATCATGTTTGCAAGTCAAACGTCCTGCAAAATCCCACCAAACATCTGAACAGGTTAAAGCTATCAATTTTTCTTGGCTGAATACAGCCAGCAAATTAATGTACGAACAAAAAGAACAAAGAAGCAAATGCCACATCAAGAGAAAAAAAACTTCCATTTTCTTCAAAGGAGTGCTACATCCGGAAAACAACACTTTCCCTGCTCTTAAATATTCATTCACTGGGGACTTGGAAAATTTAGGGAAGAAAATAACTTTTCCTCCTCACTATTTATTATCAGATAAATTACATCAATATTGGGACCTCGGACCGTAAAGGCAATCGGAATTCAGGAATTTCTCGATAAAATTGGGAAGGTTATTAGGTTTGCAAATTCAAAAAATGTATGTCTTCAATCAAACACTGTTTCAATGAAGGCCTATTTTTTTTTTAAATAAGGAAAACGTTTCATTGTCACTTTTTCCACTTTTCTACTTGGAATGAAAAGGGCAAAATTCACCATTCCGGAGCCATTCTGCAAAATGGAGACAGCCTTACGACTTAAATTTTCACCAAAGTTTCAAAGTCATCATGTTTAGCAAAAACACCATGCACACATGATGGGTTTTTTTATAACGGCTTACCTCCTTTTTTCACAGGGCAAGGAAAATACTCTTTCACCTTATCACAGGTGAAACCAGAAGAATACCCCAAAAAGGGTTCAGAGTCACCGTAGAAAAACACGCTGGCATTGACAAAACCAGATGACAGGTCGTGAGCTGAAATAAATGGAAGAAGATTATTATCCATCACAAAAATCTGTACACTACAGTGTGGTTTGAGTCAAATACATAATAATACAGAATTCTCCGCTTAAGATCCTGGTGCCCTGCAGCAAGGAAAATGCAGGATCTTAAGCGAACGGGATCTTAGCCGACCCACCAAGAGAAGAATGTACAATGACCCATGTTTAAGCCCACAACCGGTAAAGTGGTCTCCCTTCACTCTAAAATGAACTGACGTGACCCCTGGGAGGGTTTATGACTTACGGCATGCAAAGAGTGTGCATGAGGCATGCCATTTTCACTTATCATCCTGTCGAGAGTCTCAAGATCTACGCTTATCCGGTTGCCCTTTCACTTTACTTGTTCAAAATTTATAGCTTTCCACCTCTGACTGAGTTCCCCCCTCCTTTGTCATTATGCACCATAGCATTGTGACCACACCAGGCGGGCCTACTGTAGAACACACCAATCAAAATTCAGTCCGTCTTGCAAATTCCGGAGTAGAGACAACTGCTGCAATGGTCAGGGAAAAGTTCACAGTTCAATGCGATCTCGCCAGGAGTGAACTTGTAGGCCCCTACCCATCCAGCGGGTGATTTAAGTTTAGGTGGAGAGCTCAAGATGCAAGTCAGATGTTTAGGGAAAACAAACACGTCGGCGAGTGCACACCTCAGTGTGACCCAGTCTGGGGTAAACATTGTACCTTTTCATCGTGACTTACAACGCACATGTGATCACATATACGAGAGTGGTTGATCAGTAACGCAACAGGTGGGTCAATGATTGCAAAATTTCACTCTTGGTTGATCGGCAGTGCCCGTCTGGGTTTTGTTCCGTAAACTAGGATCTGAAATGCGAGATCTTAGCCGAAAGTAGACCCTCAGGGTGAATCAGAGAGAGATCTTAGGGGTGACTTTTGTATAGTAAAAATTCTGTTTTCTTAACCCTTCCTGCTCCATGCGCGCATATTTTCAGCAGCGCATTTCAGGGGGTACTGAATTTGCGCATTTAAAAAAATTAACGAAAACCTAATTAAATCTTAGTTTTCATAATATTTGTTTATTTACCTTTCAACAATGTTTCATGTTATTATCTAAACCTCATTACAAAGATACTACATCACTTTTTAGAATGCATGCCTCTTTTTCTGAAATACTGCAGGGTCTGCTGTATTGGCTGGAACCGGGGTTAGGGGGTACACAAAAATTGCTGGGGCTGGAAGGGTCAAAACAGCGAGATCTTAAGTGAACCGGGATTGTAAGCGGTGGGATCTTAAGAGGAGACTACTGTATACAATGATGTACATTCTGTAATACTTACAGTAACGATTACAAAATACATCAGAATTTAGACTGTGATATTCTTTCATAAATTAAATAGGTAACTAGGCTACTTTTCCAACAGACAGCACTGGAGGACAAAAACTAAAACCAAACATTCTTATTAAACGTGCATTTCCTCACTTTCTCCAAGACTTATTTCTATCGAAAAATCAAAACAATATTACATCTCAGCAGTATTTGACATCACCAATAGTTTTATTTCTTTGGAACTTAAATCTCACTTTGGTTAGTAAAGCTGTAAGAATACATTTTTTATTTTCTTGTACCATTAGTCAGCAACTAAAAGTTAGGAGCCAAAATCTAAGATCCCATACCTGGCCCCAATTGACACAGTACTATTATGCTTGCAACCTAAATTATACACATACTTTCCTCACCGGCATTAAATATTAGCATTGCAGTGTTTCTGGAGTGAATAGGAAATGATGACTTTATCTTTATGGGGCTTCTTTCCCCTCTCTTTTTTCATGAAAATTAAGTGTTACTCATTTCATCATTAAATGTTTGTTCCTTGTTAATAGTGTAGTTGTTTCAATTTTATTTTTCATTGTTGTCAATATCAAACTTTTAAAGTCAAATATGGTTTCAGTAGCTAAAGAAAGGGTGAGACTATGTCCAATCCATCGCCACTGCCTTCTTCCCACTTCATCTCTGATCGGGCTCTACCCTATTTCCCTTAACACGTCCTCCATGGTAGCCCTATCTGTCCTGATCCTGGGTACATTTCTCAGACACTAAACCTATAGCAAAAAGACCTGGATCCTCTCATGCAAGTCTGAGATGTGTTCTATGTTTCATATCCATACAACAAGACTGACTTCACATTCGAGTTGAAAATCCTCAGCTTTATTCAAAGCAAGATATCCTTAGTCCTCCAAATCCTGTTTATATGAAAGCAGCATGTACTTTCCAATGCAGAACTTAATTTCAACTCTTGTTCCTCCCTCTCTGTCAATTATACTCCCAATTTAGAAGGACTCAATGTTTTCTTGAGTATTTCCTTTTATAGTGACTTGCTCTTTTTGTGATGTATCTATCTTCAGGAGCTTTGACTTTCCACGATGGATCCTCAATGCAATAGACTATGATAGGCTGTTTAAAACTCGAGTTTTTGCCGCATCTGTTTCTGTGTGTGCAACAGAAACATGAAGTTATCTGCAACGTCCAGATTATCCAACTGTGACCATGGAGTCCACTGTAAGCTGTTTTTGTGCCCGCTTCAATATCTATTACATTAGAAAATATCTGCTCAACTCTTTACAAAATTTGACGGTTTTATAGGATTGCTTTTCTTTCTTGCGTGCATGCTGCCACAGGTACAACATAGCTCTTGAATAAATTAGATGCATCTCTCCTGTATGTTTCATGGCAAAGCAGAGACCAATACTGACTACACATTCAAAACTGCACCTTTCTTCTCTTATAATTTAACAAGAATCTATTACAATTCACTCACATTAACTCTATCATGTCGAAGTCAAATATACAATCATTTTTTTACAGATTTATGTAAATAAAAACAAGTAAAATTGGTTACACTACAAAATAGAAGAAAGTGAAAATAATTATTCCAACTACAAATAAATCTTGAAACATTGAGCTTTCTGTCATTTAGTGTAATGGTTTGCTACATGGGATGAGGAGGATGTTACAATGTTTCAAACACTGGCAAAAACGTAAACTTGACAAATGACACCAGCAGACTCGTCTTTGCATTAAGTAATCTCCATGACCCTAAGCCAAGTAGTCTGGTGGTTTCGAGTTACCGGTATGCTTATCAAGAGGCATGGAATCAGGTGAAAAGTGACACTGTTTAAAAGAATAATTTAGACTGATATTTAACTTAGTACGCAAGCACAAAAAAAGCCCAGGAAGCAAAGCATAGTTTAGGAACTAACAATATCAGAAATGACAAACAATACAAAAATCACAACACAAAAGAAACATACTGAGAGTTGGAAAAGAAATATGGAAAAGGTCGAACAGTAGGGAGAAAGTATCACAACACGTAGAAAAGATCCACAAAAATATATATATATAAATAAATAACCTCCGTTCAAGGTGCCCTTCTGTAACTTGGAATATAAAAACTAAAACTAAATATTTTAGCAGTTTTACAATCTTTTCAGTGATGAAAAAAATAAAAAGTCAATAAAAAGTATGTGATACTAATGATAATCAACTTACGAGATGTATACTCTAAATGCACTTTAACTTCTCCAGAAGACTTGAGCACTTTGGGAGTCCAAGTCATGTTGAAAGGAACTTTGCCTGATTGCAAAAAAACGTTTAAACATCAACAACAAAAAAGTGTTTCAAATATAGAGAGCAATAAAAGACCTAAATGTAACAACTACAATCCAAACTTTTGAGCAAAGCAGCGAAGAAATGCATATATATAATTATATAGCTCAAATCTGTCCAAAACAGCCATCTGCATTACCACTTCCCACTTCCCCCCTAGCGTTTTTTAAATATATATATATATAATAACACTGCCCAAATCTGTTCAACGCAGTCACAACTGCTATATTTTGTCAACCAAGAAAACGAAATCTGTCATCGCCCAACACATTGCCACCAGCATGTAGGTGAGCTGACTTGTCCCTCCCACTCTTTACCTAATTAGACCTGTCGGTCACAGATTTTCAGCGGCTGATGCGTGAGAAAATGCAACAGTCATAACCTTCCCCTAACTGAACCATCAGCTGACCACACACGAATCAAAGGTGAGTTTAGAGGCCCTTCAGTTTATCCAGTCAGTAACAACAGACATCATCTTGAACTTGCAAGAGAAGTGTCACTCGTTTGCCAAGTGGTGGCAGCCAATTTGCTTGTTTTTAATTTATCCCCCACCATGCATTTCTTTTCAAACACTCACAGACTTGCATTTTTCTTATTTTAGTTTTAGTTAGAGCTTTACAGCACTTGCAACACAATATGGTCAAGTAAGTACCGAAGATTAGGGGCGTTGTAAGAGAGTAACATTCTCAAAAAAGAAGGAGGAGAGATAAAGACGATAGATGTTTGACCGGAAACAAGGAGCAAATCACACCAGAGCACCCACCAACCACCCACAGCCTTGCATTGACAGACACATATCATATTGAGATGCATACACAGACAGAAAATACATGCTGTTACACTTATAACCATAAAAATATAGTTTAGTTTTATTAAGAAATTTACAGCGCTCGCAACTGCATAAGGAATGCAAATATAGACAAACACACACTTATGGAAACACAAAGACAGGTGGACAGACAGATACAGTAAAACATATTTATAACGTACTCAGCTTAAAACATACTCTAGGCTGTAGCGTTAACCTCCTGAGGTCCCAACTCCAATATTTAGTATTTTTACTCTAAAAACTCAAGCCTAAAAAGTACCTGAGAATAAAACATACTTTTTGCTAGGTCAGTCAACAAAATACATTGTACCGGTACATTGTGAGGATAAAGAAAAATGACAAGCACTAGTTTTACCAAACTCATACTGTAATCTAATCAGCTACCACAAGAGGGCGAGATGGTTTCTTTTCTTCGTTTTCATCTGTCCTACCCAAGATGTCCACCTGCCTAAGGCAAGAGAATGACTTTTGCCCTCCACGATGGGTGGCCCTTTTGGATAATTGCGACTGTAGTTTGTTATATATTTGTTGGTTTATGTTATAATAATAATAAATTCGGAGTGGCTACATGCCCGATATCAGGTGGCTAGCGTCAGGTTACTAGCCCGATGCCGGGTGACTAGCCCCTGGCTACTCGCCCGATCTAGGATTTCTGCGCATGTTCCGGGCGAACGAATTCGGTCGATTAGCTCCGCCAGTTCAGCGGCATCTGGCCGGTGGGGATTTCTGTGCAAGCTCCTTTAAATAGTCAGTCACTCACTCTCTTTCTCGTTCGCACTCTCTCTCTCTCTTTCTTTCTTCCCCCCCCCCCCCCCTCCTCCCCTCTCTCTCTCTTTCTCTCTCTGCCCGAAGACAAAATTTATCGCTTACAACCCAGCACTGGAACGTTTGTTTCTACTCGTATCACGGGCCGTCACGCGTTAAGAAGATGAGGTAGATCTAGCTCCCAATTTAAGTCTCGTTCAGATGCAAGAGAGGGCAATTGAAACATCTTGGTAGAAGTTAGACAATCTTTAATAACATCACGGCGCTGCATTTCTATTGTTAGTAACTTTGTCACCGGCATTCCAATGAATGATAATAATTAAATAATTAATAAAGGATGATAGATCTAGGGGATCTACAACATTGTAGTCAACTCGCGAGGGAAACCTCGGAAGACAACAAAAATAGATGGCGGGAAAACATCATCTGTGATCTCTTTTGGGCCAATCACAGAGGTGTGCTAGGTGCTCTCAATAGCTTCATGTCGCTCGGAAGGCCCTGAGGCCGTGTTTACGTTACCTAATACCGGGTGCCCACTACGGATGGGATCGCCCGACTCGGTCGCCTCAAGAACAAACTTGTTTGTTTTCAGTTTCAGGCGATCGAGTCGGGCGATCGGCCCGATCCAGCCATAGTGGGCACCCCGTAAAAGACTAAGACTAGATCTAGGTGACCGGCTCCGGGTGGGCAGAAAATGCTAGCCACCCGAGGTTGCAGAAATCCTCACGGGCCAGTAGCGTCAGGCGTCTCGACCGAATTCAGTCGACAAGCCTGACGCTAGCCACCCAAGATCGGGTGAGTAGCCTGACGCTAGTTACCCGACATCGGGCAAGTAGCCTGACGCTAGTTACCCGACATCGGGCGAGTAGCCTGACGCTAGCCACCCGACAACGGGCGAGTAGCACCTGCCTAATAAATAATAATAAATAGCATTTGTATAGCGTGTTCCCCCACTCGACAGCAAACTTTTTGCGCTTTACACTGTATTATTATCCCAGCAGACCGTGGAATACTCCGAAACATTCTCCGATTCTCCGTTTTCCGAGAAGCACACAGTGCAAGCACCTGATTAAGCGCTCAAACACTAACAAACTGACAAGATCTTTCGCTGTCTAAAGCTGGGTACCCATTCCCACCTGGGTGAAGTGAGGAAAATATGTGTTAAGGGCCTTTCCCAAGGACAAAGTCAGGCCGCTGACGAGATTCGAACCTACAACCTTACGGTTGCAAGTCCGAGAGCCTAACCACTTTGCCACTGACGCCACAATTATGACAATTACTGATGTGTGGTCTTTTTTTTCTTTTTTTTTATAGTAGAACGTTTTACGGCGCTCGCAACTGCATAAGGTCATATGAGCGCCAAGGGGTGGGTGTCAACAGAGAAGTCTTTACAGGGAATCAGACTTAGACTGCTCACCTCTCTAGCTTCAACAGCACAAGGTCTGCTTCGACTATCAAGGCACCCCGGAAATAACAGGTCAGAAGAGAGTGACAAACATACAAAAGAAGTAGAAGAAAATGACAATAGTAAGGATCAGGAAAGAAAAAGCAGCAGTTACCAAAATAGTCAGGTTACTCCCCCCCCCCCCCCCCCCCCAAATAAAGAGTCAACATCCATGATCCTGATTCTGAACGACACATTGTAAGTCAAAAGCCTGCCTGTACCACATGCCTGCATACCTTATAAATAACTCCTTGGCCTGTCCCTTAAAAAATATATTCTAAATGCCATATTAAATTTTAGGTTGACTTAAAATTTGTGCATAGTATATTGACCATCTATGAACTGTCATTTTTTTCCCTCATCGTTTGGTTTTTATCTTTATTTTGTGTACACCAAGTCTGAGAAAATTGCAACAAACAGGTGACAAAACAGAAATGTTTATACATACTCATGGTTTGATTAAAAAAACTAAAACACTTTGACTTTCTGTCTTGTCAGTCAATACAATTTGAAATTATCTAGCGCGTTTGTTGCCATTTTATTGTCCAAAAGTTGCCACAAAAATGGCAAAAGTTGCCTTAAAAGTTGCCAATAATTTTCAAGCTTTAAACTGTGTGCCAACGTATACGGCAATATGTTGATAGAGGTTAGGTAACTTAATCTAAAGAACCAAAATTTCTTGTGTTCTCTTTCAAGCATCCAGAAGATCATTAAAATTTGTAGCCACACGGAGTGTAAAAACGTGGAAAATAAAGTTTCACAACAGAATGAAATAAAAATTAGAACAGAACATAAACAACCACAGAAATTAACAAATAAGGGCGTGTGTCCTCCTATCCGAAGAGTGGCCGTTTTAACCCTAAACGTGTGTTATTCAAGAAAAAAAACAGGATATTACATGTACATTATCTAATCACACACAAGGGGCCTGCCAGTGTCAGTACATGTACATGATGTATTCGGGTTTGGTGGAGACACGCTCTCACATAACGCTGCTTTTTTTTTTTTAAAGGTAGGAACAACATCAAATTAAATTATATTGACATTACGATAAACACAAAAAATAGAAAACACATCAGAACAATAACAAGAAAAGAAAATAATACACCAGCAAATTAAAACACAACAAAGAGAGAAAAATAAAAGAGAAACAGCAATATATAAATAGTATGTAATGTACAAGCCTTTTTTTTTCACATGAAAACAACACATAAGCATGGGGTCAACAAGTAAGAAGAAGTGAAGTGAAAGTGAAAATAAACTTTCTTTCAAAAGGTAAAGAGGTTCAGTTTCTTTTTCTTTTTTTTTTTTTACTTTTTCGTCTTTTATACGCTGTCTTTTTTGTATCTTTTATTCCCCGGCGGTGTGGTTTTTGGAAAAATGCAAAAAATCGCTGCAACAAACGCAGATGCTAGAATTATCAAATTATTCTAATTAAACCTAGTCAAACTAGTTTTCAACTGCATTTTAATTGAACGTCTTCGTTGACAAATTTCCAACTAATCCACCATCAGAGACAATTATAAGAGCTTTCTAACAGTGAAACTATATTACTGCTTGAAAACTTAACAGACTACATGATGTCTGCAGCTATGACTATGTGTGATAAACAAGGGGCTGTGTCACGGTGGCTGATGTATCAAATAATTCAACTGGCCAGTATTTTGGATTGGTTCAGCATGTTTTTAGCTATTAGATGGGCAGAAAGCTTGGTTTATTTCAAATAAGAGTAAGGAAAGGATGATACAGGATGTGTTTGCTACTAAATTGGAACACCCTACCCTTATAACTTTCTGTTGAATGAAAGAGACGAGCACAAAAAGCTTCAGCTATAATCAGAATCAAACTGTTAATACTAGTCAAAAAACATTGTACACCCACACACAAACATTTTCAAGTCAGGAAGAAGAAATAACAATCATCTGAGTCTGGAAAAGATATGAAATGCCAGCAACACATACCGCCAGCCCCACTTACCAACAGGTCTGCATAAATATAGTACTTGTGCCTTCACAGTGCTATCCACCAACAGTTTGAGTTGTAAAGTTCTTAAAACTAATTCAAATTCACCCCGCTTAAGGAATATCACTGGAGAAAGTTAAAAGACTTCCAACTGTCCAAAATAATGCTGCACGTTTAGTTTCACGGAAAAGAAAGCAAGACTCTGCTAAACCTCTTTCACGAACTTTGCATTGGCTTCCTGTTAAGAAAAGGATTGTGTACAAGTTGGCCACCCTATGTCACAAATGTTTGAAGGATAATGCACCATCATATTTATCAAATCTTTTAAGATTAACCACTAATCACAATTGGTCGCTTTTAAGCACAAGGGGGCTATCCCAAAAAAAACTTTTGAGAAAATCGAAGGTAAAGTTCTTGCCCCTTGTTCAGTTTCTTTAAAAGTCAAGGAGAGTTTTTTCTATAACCAAACAAATATACACACCAATGAAATCAAACTTCTCCTATTGGTAGGGCAATGCCCACTTTTGGCTCAGGTCAAGAGTTCTGGAAACCCCTGAAATCTGGGTTAGCCCATTTGTCCTTGAAAGCGGCCAATTAAGACTAATGTCATATATGTGTCACGAAGCAGTGGAATCAGGCGCTCGTCAATTTAGGCATATATAGATTTACTGGTGTCAGCTTAAAGGTTGCTCATTTGCCTTGCTTTCGGTGAAAAAAATATCCATTTTTCTTGAGTAGAAGTCAAGATATTTGCGATTGAAAGAGGTGGGGTCGCCTGGTTTCAGAAGTAGAATTAATGAGAAATGGCCGCCAAAGTTTGGTGACTTCAATAGCTTAAGAGTCCTAGGAAACTGCAAATTCACATTTTTTGTGCCTTTAATCAATGTCAATGTTTTGCCATAAAATCCACACATAAAAGTTTTTTTCAATGGACATACAAAGTGTTGAGCCAAAAAACAAAAATTTGAAATAAATTTCCAAACTTGCGGAAAAATGCAGATTTCTCACATTTAACTATTTTGATGAGCGCCTGATTTCACCACACTGCCTCACATATGATATATATGAATCTTACCACAATTACTGGCATGCCCTTTATTGTCCATGATGGGAACATTTTTATCCCCAACTTTCATATCCACAATCTTCATTTTCTGAACCCCATTAGGGGAAATTGACAATACTTCAACGGCAGTCAGAAATATCGCTGCCAAAGAAAACAACAAAGTAGCGCTCTTCTTTTCCATTTTCAGAGGTGAAATGCTTCAGTTGGCAGTTTCTGTGAATAAATAAAAGATTAAAACAAATGTTCAGTCTTATTTGGCAAGAACTATTATACAAAATATTTTATTCAGTGCATTTCCTTACAGAGAACTGGTCAATAATCAGGAACAAAGTGCGCAAGAAGATTCAGAAGGCGAAAAAGAGAGAAATCAGAGACATAGTTGATATTGCTCTCAAGGCACAAGGAGAACTGGTTTCCTTACATAATATCTATGGCTGAATTGAAAAAAGCCACAAACAAAAAATCACCTCAGAACTATTTTGTCCAAAGGACACTCTTTACTTAAGTACACTTTGCACAAAAAAGTGCTGAGGCAACGAAATGTGCGAGTGGTAAAAAGTTCACTTTTTTTTTTTTTAATAGGAGAAAGAAACTGGAGATAAAAAATGTGAATACCAACACACTAACAGAGCCAGGCAAAAAATTGATCAGACCACAACAAACCCAGAAAAGGTCAGGAATAAGGAATGACTGTTGTGATTGACAATGATTGTATCCCTTTTATTAACAAACATATAATTATAAAGGATTTGGTCTTAAAACTTACCGTACATGTTTTATTGCCTGGGTAAATAATATCAAGATCAAGAATACGAATCCGGATCTGGATTCGAGAACAAGATAATTTTGACTTTGACCAAGGTGATCCACCATAGGTTTAGCATCGATAATGTCGACGATATACTATAATGCTGTAAATAATTTGTGGCGCAACTTATTGTCAAATATCCTAAACTGTCAAACAGACTCTCCAGTTTTCGCAAAAGGACTTGTATCAATTTATTTTAATAGACAGGGTTGGTGATTTTTAATTTTTTTTTTCAAAAAAATAAAAAAAATCGATTTTTTTAATTTAAATCATGATTTTTTTAATTTAAATCAGATTTTTTTGATTTTTAAAAAAATGTCGACACAGTTTGGGATTTTTGGTTGCTAAAAGTATGTTCTTTTAGTGCAAAATGCATTGTCTTAATTTAACTAATGATTAAATTAAGCAACCTCAAAAGAAAGCCTTAATCTGCTATATAATAGTATATATATATATATATATATATATCAGTGAATTATGGCTACAGACAAAAAATGAAGAAAATGTCAGTCTAAAAGGAAGGGGTGGGGGGGGGGTAATTATGCATAGATAAACTTGCATTTTATTACAGTGTGTGTGTGCGCGCGCTTGTGTTTGTCTAAAAAGAAAAAGAAAATGTTAATTTCAATTATGAAAAAAAAGTACATTGAATGCTGTATTATTTTACAGTGACAGGGGGGAAAGCAGACTTTTAAGCATGATTTTTTTGTCTACTAAACCTTATATACTGTTTTATAAAACCAAGGAAAGGAATTCTGAATATTTAAAGATGTAAAAACAGAATACATTTTTTTAAAGTGATTTAAATCACTGAGTTTTATTTTTTTAATCAAGTTGATTAAAAAAAATTTTTTATCAACCCAACCCTGATTTCAATTATGAAAAAAAAGTCAATTGAATACACTGTATTATTCTACAGTGACAGGGGGGGGAAGCAGACTTTTAAGCATGATTATATTAGTCTACTAAACCTTATATGTTTAATAAAACCAAGGAAAGGAATTCTGAATGTTCAAATATGTAAAAACTGAATACATTTGTTAAAAAGTGATTTAAATCACTGATTTTTATTTTAAAAATCAAGTTGATTGAAATATTTAAAAAATCAACTGATTTAAATCAACCCAGCTCTGATTTCAATTATGGAAAAAAAAGTAAATTGAATACTGTATTATTTTACAGTGAAAGGTGGGAAAGCAGACTTTTAAACATGAATTATATTAGTCTACTTAACCTTATATCTGTTTTATGAAACCAAGGAAGGGAATTCTGAATGTTGAAATATGTAAAAACTGAATAAAAATAAAAAAAATTTTAAGTGATTTAAATCACTGATTTTTATTTTAAAAATCAAGTTGATTTAAATCAAAAAAATCAACTGATTTAAATCAACCTGATTTAAATCAACCCAACCCTGCTAATAGATCAATATTTTTTTAGGTCTAAACACCTGTTAGCAGTATTCTAGAAAATTACAGTCCATGCCGGCTTTAAGCACAGTCATCCAGAGAAAGCATAAGCGTGCTTAATGCCAAAGCGTGCTTGAGCGCGAAGTAGACATTGTCATAACCGAGAGATTTTTATGTTGAAAATTTCCTGAGTTATTTCCCTTTTTTGTAAACAGTGGTCGCCTAAAAGTGTGCGCTGTCATTTTTACCCGCTATAGTAGTTTTTGTTTGTTTGTTTTGTCTTGGGTTCGAAAGGGAAAGGAAAACTTAATTAAGACGGCCATTCACGATACAGCACACTAGGCCTACACACTGAATGTGCGTACCACTGCCCGCTCTGCCACATTCATACCACCGCCATTCGTCCCACCTGGTGCGTCATACATAATCAGGGTTATCGGATAGCGAGGGGCAAAGGTGAGATCGCAGCCAGCTTCCTTTTCTCGTCTTCCCGACTCTCTGTGTATTTTTTGTCTGGGTGTTGCTTTGCCAAAGACTAGATCCTAGTCCACGCATGCGGCTGTGTGCATCTCTCTGCCTTCCTCTCCGCGCGTGTGAGTGTGTGTGTCTCCATCACTTGTAGTCTTCGTGTTTCTCTTACACACTCCACTACTCCGGTGAAGACTATGTTAGTATGTCGATGGGTCATTAGGAAAGTATTGACTGTCTTGTAAATGAAGCGTGCCTGAAGCCGAAGTCGGCGTGCTTTAAGGAGTGTGATTGATATAGCAAAAATTCGGTAAGAGCCGTTTAGTGTGCTTGAATCCGGAACGTGCTTTATAATGGCCTGCTTAAAGCCGGCACGGACTGTAAATGCTTTTTGAAAATCCAAGTGGGCGGTTTTTACAGTAATAAGCCTGTTTCCCACCGGATGCTCGGAGCGTCCGATACTAGTGAGAACTGTTTCATTTTATTTAGTGGTAGTTTTTGCTTGTTTTTCGGAACTATTCCCGAACCAAGTTTGTTTCCACCATTTAGAAGTTGGAGGCAAGCTTTTGGGGTTATAATGAGACATACTGCATCAGGTTTAGGTGACGGAAGAAAAAACTCCGAGAAACAGTGGAAAAAACTCAGGGTTTAAAGAGTTAAGAAAGTTCAACTCAAATGGAGTCGACCGTATTCATGAAAGGCATCACAAGGCTCATAAACTTAAAAGGTTTAAATGTTTTAACAGGCCACTGGCCAAAATTTCAACAAAAATGAAGGAATCTGCAACACGCATGTCCTCAAAGAAAAAAGAAATGGCGATCCACGAACAATAGAACGTATAAACGAACGGGCATGGACAAACATACACAGACAGACAGACAGACAGACAGACAGACAGACAGACAGACAGACACACACGTAGACACAGAATCAAATATACACAAAAATACTCACATTCCTGCGAACATTTACACAAGCACACACCCGTTCATTGTCAGACATGCGTACCACCAGCTTTGGATCAGTTGGAAAACATCTCTCACGCAAATCAAACGCGATAAGTTTTCATAACCCTCATGCACATTATTGCAAGCTTCCTGCATTCACCAAAAAATATCCTCATTTTTGAACAGCACAAAGGGCTGATGTTTCCTCCTACATTGTAATATATCTTGGCAGTTCCTGTTGCAAGAACTCAGGCAGCCTGTACAATTGTGATTAAGACAAACAATGACAATCCTCCGTGATCATTGATGAGAACCCAGTGGCATCATAAACTAATGGATACGTCCAGTATTCGTTTTGACTTAATCTTCAGCTGACTGAAGAACTGGTTATGCATTCTGGGAATCACTTGAAAATTGCAAAATGATTGGAGGTCATAGTATTTGTCTTGGTCAATACCTGGGCCAACGCCATTGTTAAGAACACCAAGTTCAATCTCATAAAAATCAAAGCTCTGTACTTTCCTAATCCTCTGAGGCAAATTCAGATGGTGGTACTTTTGCCACTGTAGTCATAGAGAATTTGAACAACATTTGGGCTGTTTTTGGAGTGTTTCAAGGATTTGATATTCAGTCATTGCACGTTCTGTCGGTCTAAATCAAAGTTTTTCAAATACGAAGCAATCTTCTTGAAGTCAAAACAGCAAGTCTCATCTACTTCCCTGACAATGTATCGTGGCTTGGTTTATTTTGCATGATGCTAGCCCATTGTGCAGTTGTGTACACATCTAATCTACATTTTTGCTCACTCTTTCTATCGTTGCACGGACACTATTGTTTTCCTTTTTGCTTTGCCCCTTCATGAAGAAGTTGTGTTCCATCTCTCCAAATCCAAATTTGTGAAGAGCAAACCATAGCATGGTCAGAAAATACTTATTTCTGTTTCGACCACCACACAAACCCGAGTAACGTGATATGCATGTACTTGACAATTTTTTCATAGGCAGTGAAGAGGCACCTTTCAAAGACTCGTACACACAGGAACAGATTTCGTTTGACCATCTTGCAGCAATGCCTTCGTGCCACACGTTGCATACAGCTTAGCTGTTTCCAAGATCGAAAATTGAGAGATTGAATGTGTTCTGTTTTCTTTTGTAAAAAAGAACAGATGCAGCAGAGTGCCGGGTCATGAGGACTTCTTGTAAATGAAAATGGAAGATCATTTTCTCTTCATTGGCACGACTTTTTTGTTTGTTCTTTGCCTTCTTTTCCTGTACCTTTTGCTTATTCTGATGGTGTTTGTCATATTCACTTTGTATTGAGACCTTTTTCTCTCTGGAGAGAGATTGTCAAGAGACACAGAAATCACACCTGTCCTTGCTGGGATTGTGAAAACTGAGGTTAAACTCAGTTCTGAATATCTCACAATAAACAGCTGTGAAGAGTAAGTGAGTAAGTTTATTCAGTGTTTAAGGCCACTGGCCCACATCACATCGCACAAAATATTCATTTGATAAATAATGTTTCCATAATGAATAGGTAAAGGTTGTGCACATATCTCTTATCATGAGTCAAACATTGCATATTTCTAAACAGCTGTGAGGATACAATTGTGTGAGCTTGATTTTTACTGTCTTTCTTCTCAGTAGAGCCTGTACATGGTTGCCAAGTTCAGGGAAGCCACTTGGTACTGTCGTTCATTGTCCTTGTGGTAGTAGTGGCTCTCAACCTTTGGAAAGGACCTAATGTGGGCTCTCACCATGTCCTTTTCTTCTTTCATTGCTGGGGTCTCCTGGGTGTGTCTACCCCGGAAATCCGAACGACATGCTCACCTACATCCTTCTTTGAAATTGCAGTGAACACAAATAGGTCTGTAATGGCCAATGTGGGTAGGATGAAAGTCTTACACACAGAACTTTTACTCTCTCAGGACTTATGCGATACACTATAAACCAACGTCCTCTTTTCAAATCTGAATGCTTCACTCTGCACATCAGTTTGTCTTTGACTTCTACATTATGACACTCATAGACCCTCCTCATGTCTAAAATTCCTGTGATCCAGAAAAGATGGAAAACTATCTCTCTCTGTTCCTTGCTCATTCTTTGATGACATTGCATTCTACATTTTGGTCCACACCCTGTCTTCATTGTTTTCCTGTCTACTGCTTTTACTTTCCTGCTTGTGTATGCTTCTACATGTTTCAGCGCCTTCTTCCTCTGTACATCTTTCCACTTGATAGTGTCCTGCCTTCTTTTCCTTCCACGGATTTTCATCACAGGATCTGGTGATGTTTCAAAGCTTATGTCATTTGCTAGAATACTACGGTCTTGCACATCGTTAGACTCTAATTATGCTTGCTCACAGGTGAGCGAGACAGTCTGTAATAGTACCTGATGGTTCATTGCTACCATAGTTTGAGCCACATGGCTCTGGATGGAGGTACTCAGGATTGAAATCTGATTCACCACCGATGACACGCATGGCATCCACAGAAACCTGCATGTATTTCAGTGGGGTAGTTACTTCTTGTTCCGTCAGTGCTAGAACTTTTTTGGGCATGGTCTCCTCCTTATAACTCTCCATCCAGTCTTCATCATCTGAAGGATTGTATTCTGGATCTTTTTCCGAATTCCAGTCATCAAGATCTGAGGTGTTGTCATAGGTGTGGACTTTGCACGTTGCAATGCCTTGCCTTTGGATTGGAGCCTTTCGTTGCAACTCTACAAGAGACATGTTGTCAGAGTCTGTATCGTCGTCTTTGCTCCAGCATCCCAGATGAAAATAGGTCAGATTAAAGCCGAGGGCACATCAGAGTCTGACCATTCATTTCGTGCAGAAGACAAGACCTGATGGAGATTGTTTGAGTCTCTGGTTTTTTTAACTGACACTTGCAATATTGTCAGCTCAAAAGGACATGATACACGCCCTTTTATATGATGCAGCCAAAGAGTCACTTTTCCCACTGATGCATGTGAAGTCACCACTGCAGCACCATCTGGACACGATATTCCAGCAAGGTCCCTGCTGCGAGGATCAAAGATGTAGATAAGATCTTCACTTTCGATAATTGCAGTTGAGTACACTGGGGAACTGGAACCATGATGAGAATGGAGAACTTGTAAATTTCTAACTAAGAGTGAAGTTTCCAGGCAGAAATAGGGCGAAGTGTCTTCCGTCACTGTTAAAAGACCAGAATACGAATCCTCTATTTTCAAATCAACTTGACAGTCAAACATTTAACAATGAATGGGAAAGTCAGTAATGAGAGGATACAACTCACAAAAAAAAGCTTCAACCAACAAAGAATAAAGTTTGTCAACAAGGATCAGTACATTATCGATATTTTTGGTATTCCAGAGGAAAACACTTCTTGTCCCACCCTAGGAGCTGGCCGGTTACAAATCAGTATCGAGCGCTCGCTCATCACTCAGGGGCAGGAAAACCAAATTAAGGCAATTTCAGAATTCAACTGACTCGCACTACAATGACGAACACATTGTATTCAGAAGGGCAGTAGAAGAAATCAGAGAAAAAGTCTCGTGTAAACTATTGTAGGTCTAGATCTAAGATCTAGTTACAATCCAGCGCATCATCACCAAAATTGTCTCGAAGACTATTGTAACTTGACTTACAACAGTACGCAGCGCAAAAAAGTGTCTGTTGGAGTACCAATATCTTTAAGGAAGAGGCTAGCCGTACTGAAGTACGGCTAGACTCGCAGTCTAGCCGTACTTATTCTTAATATGATGGCTAGACTGACCATTTACAAAAAATAGGTCTATTGAATTGTAAATATTTTTAGTGTGCAGTACCTAAAGTATTTGTATTTGAGACGAAACCAGGTACCTTAGCCTTAATGACAGGGCATGTATTTTAAACCTCCTGTTTTCTCATGTTAATAGGGCCTAAGATAAGTACGGCTAGACTGGCAGTCTAGCCGTACTTAAGTACGGGTAGACAGCCAGGCTAGCCGTACTTAAGGACGGCTAGACTGTCAGGCTAGCCATACTTAATATTGATGGTTGAATTGTAAATGAAATTTTTAGTTCTCAATGCCTAAAGTATTTGTATTTCAGACAAAACCAAAAGGTGCCTTACTGACTTGCATGTATTTGAACCTGAATAATTACTAGATCTAGATTCTAGTATATATCTAATGAGACCTGTGTACTTAACAGTTGGGCCAAACCTAGACCTAAGTACGGCTAGACTGCCAGGGCCAGTCTAGCCGTACTTAAGTACGGCTAGCCACTTCGTATTTTTAAAACGAAGTGGCTTTAAGTACGGCTAGCCTGAGAGTCTAGCCGAGATAGATCTAGGTTTGGCCCAAACCTGTCGAGTACACAGGTCTCATCAGATCTAGAATCTAGATCTAGCTTTTAAATCATTCAGGTTTAAAATACATGCAAGTCAGTAAGGCACCTTTAGGTTTTGTCTGAAATACAAATACTTTATTAAGCATGGCAAACTAAAAATTTCATTTACAATCCAGCCATCATTATTAAGTACGTAGATCGAAGTGGCTAGCCGTACATAAGTACGGCTAGACTGAGAGTCTAGCCGTACTTAAACTTAAGTACGGCTAGGCTGCCAGTCTAGCCGTACTTAGATCTAGGTTTGGCCCTTTCAACTCAAACCTGTTTAGTTAGTACACAGGTCTCATTAGATCTAGATCTAGTAATTATTCAGGTTCAAATACATGCAAGTCAGTGAGGCATCTTTTGGTTTTGTCTGAAATACAAATACTTTAGGCATTGCAAACTAAAAATTTCATTTATAATTCAGCCATCAATATTAAGTACGGCTAGCCTGACAGTCTAGCCGTCCCTAAGTACGGCTAGCCTGACAGTCTAGCCGTCCCTAAGTACGGCTAGCCTGACAGTCTAGCCGTCCTTAAGTACGGCTAGCTTGGTTGTCTACCCGTACTTAAGTACGGCTAGACTGCCAGTCTAGCCGTACTTATCTTAAGCCCTATTAATATTAGAAAACAGGAGGTTTAAAATACATGCACTGTCATTAAGGCACCTTGTTTCATCTCAAATGCAAATACTTTAGGTACTGCACACTAAAAATGTATATATTTACAATTCAGTAGGCCTATTTTTTGTAAATGGTCAGTCTAGCCATCACATTAAGAATAAGTACGGCTAGACTGCCAGTCTAGCCGTCCTTAAGTACGGCTAGCCTCTAGATGTCCAACCGTACTTTAAGTCAAGTTAAGTACGGCTAGATAAGCAGCCTAGCCGTACTTAGCCAAGTAACATTAGAAAACAGGTCTCATGTCATTAGTATTTATTCAGTTTTAAAATTAAATATATTAAATATATGCACTGTCAGTAAGGCACTGTCAGTAAGGCACCTGGTTTTGCCTCAAATACAAATACTTTAGGAGGGATCTACTGCAAACTAAAAATTTATTTACAATTCAGTAGGCCTATTTTGTGTTTGTTTTTCAGTCTAGCCATCACATAACTAGTCAGTAAATTTTTACTTTCACTCCCGCACAGAGATGCACTGTTTCAGGGGTCAAACTGCTGTATTGTTTGCTGCAGATCACACATTACCACTAAAACTGTCGCAAATCAATTATTTTCAAGACAATTTCAAATCTAACTGTAAAATTATATCAAATTATGGGGGTAAAAACAGCCCCCTGTAACCCCCCAGATTTTCTTTTACTTTTACCCCAGTGGGGCAAGCCCCCCTGGAACCCCCCAATTGGTCCAACGCTTCCGTTGGTCCAAAGCATGTCCATCTCGGTTAAAAACAATCAAATATTTCAAAAACTATTAATTTGCGACGGAAATGAAGTTGATATTCGTTCAGCGCATCAATATTTAATAGAAAATAGGCATCTGGTAGCTAAGTGTGAAACGGGAGGGAAAGTTTAAAAAAATACAAACTAGATAACTAGATTCTAGATCTAGATCTAGATCTAGATCTAGATCTAGATCTAGTCTATAAGTACGGCTAGCCAAGCAGTCTAGTCGTACTTAAATTAAGTACAGCTAGCCTCTTCGTTTTTAAAAAGAATCAGATCTCTAGATCTAGTCTAGAGAACTAAAACTAAATTTTGATCTTCTAGGCCTCGGGCTATCCGACCCTCTATTAAATCTAGAGACTAGATCTAGATCTAGATCTATTACTATTATACTCGTATACATTCGTGCAAACCTTTGCTCTTGTTGAGATGTGTTTCGGGGACAGGTCAGTCGAGGTCTGATGATAGTATCTCGTATTTTCGTCCCCAATTGATCAACAAGGAAGTAAAATAGCTTTGGTAAAAAAAAAAGGCAGCCCCTTGAGGCGGATATAATTCTGTTCCACTCTGGTCACTGGTCGGGCTAGCGAGAGCCGAGACAATTGCGTCTTCCGAGTAGGCCTAGCCTATTAGCCTACTACTATCAGGTGTTATAACAGTATAGTAGTTTTCCCAGTTTAGGCTGAGTTTAGGGTCTTGTGTTTGTAGGCCTAGCACAGAATTCTACACTTAGTCAAAGAGTCTACATAACTATCTTTGACTTAGTGTAGAATTCTGTGGTTTGTAGAAGTTTTTCAAGTAGGCTACTCGATACAAGAAATATTTTGGAGCTGATACCGATACCAAAGAGGCTGTTCAAATATAATTTTACACCTTTTTGGGGACTTTTTGAACCCCCCCCCCCCCATTTCTTACACTTTTCTTACATTTGCCCTTACCCCCCCCCCCCTCTGAGCTAGCAAGATGCGCCTATTTTTGTTTGGAGGGTAATTTTTTTCGCGCAAATCCGTAAAACAATCATTGGCCCATTAAATTTTTGGGGGGGGCAGCGTGGTGGAATCAGGCTCTCGTCAATTTTTGGGCATGTAGAGTTATTGGTATCATCTTAAACTTGTTCACTTGTCTTTATTTGGTTGAAAAAAATATCCATTTATCTTGAATACAAGTCGAGATATATATTTGTGAATGAAGAATGTGGGGGTCACCCGTTTTCAGATGTAAAATTAGTGAGAAAATGGCCGCCAAAGATTAGTTATTTCCTTAGCTTAAAAGTCCTTGGCAACTGAAAATTTACATTTATTGTACCTTTAATCAACGTTTTTTTCAGAAAAATCCACCCAGAAATGAGTTTTTTAATGGGCATGAAAGGTGTTGAACCAAAAACTAAAAATTCACAAACCTGCAGAAAAATGCAAGTTTCTTCATTTTTGATTATTTTGACGAGAGCCTGATTCCACCACGCTGCCTCACATATGCACAAAAAAATAATAGGTGTCACGACATGGTGGGATCAAGCGCTCGTCAGTTTTGATTTTGAGGCATACAGAGTTATTGATATCATCTTAAAGCCTGTCCATTTGCCTTCCTTTTGATTTTGATGAAAACAATTATTCATCTATGCTGAATAGAAGTCGAAATATTTGTGATTGAAAGAGGTGGGGTCTCCTGATTTCAGAGGTAAATTTAGTGAGAAAACGGCCGCCAAAGTTTGATAACTTCAATAGCTTGAAAGCCCTTAAAACTGAAAAATCACAAATTTTGTGCATGTAATGAACGTTTTTTAGTATGGACGTAAAAGGTGTTTAAGGCGGGAAAAAAAAATCAATAAAAATTCCCCAAACCTGCGAAAAAATACCCAGGGTTTTTTTCACTTTCATTGTTTTGACGAGCGCCTGATTTCACCACGCTGCCTCACAATTAGAGTAAATCATTCAAGGAAAATATTGCATACACACTCTTTCTTACTAATAAAAAGGGAAAAATTGACACTCATGTCTATGACAAAAACGCTTTAATTTTTTTTAAAAACAAGTTACAGTAGAATTCTGATAAAGTCAACACCCCGGACAGAAAAAAAGTGTTGACTTTGAGCAAGGTTGACTTTATCCATTGTACTACATGTACTGGCCATTGAAAATTGAAGATGACAGCTACAAAATTACAAAGTTCTTGGTAATAAACAAGATGTAATCTCAATTTCAGGGACTATAATTCTGAAGTTGTCACCAAAAAGATAATGAAAGAACAAAGTACATGTAATTGGAGGTGTGTACACCACTTGCTCAGGCGAAATATCTCTTCTTGAATGGAATTCATCTTAGGATTTAGCCCCGAATTGTTGACTTTACGCAAGGTTAACACTCAAGCGGTTGACTGTATCAGAAACACAATTACTTTAACAAAGAAAGTAAGAAACGGGACTACAGTGAGGTGTTGACTGTAAGCAAGAGTTGACTTTAAACAAGTTGACTTTATCAGGATTCCACTGTATCTCTCACAATCTGTTATTACTGATAGTTTAAGCTGAAAAAAAAATGAAATTAGTTATCATCAACAAATGCAGAGTTCATCATTATGTCAAAAATATTTGTTCACCTCACAAAAGTGTAATATTACATTAGTTCAAGACCCCTCCCCCCTTTCTTACACTTTTCTTACAGGAGCCAAAGACCCCCCCCCCCCCTCCCAGGCGTAAGATTATATTTGAACGGCCCCAAAGTGTTTTGCTAGGCCTAGGCTATACCGGATTTTGAAACGGTTTCCCGGTTTGGCAAGATTTTTTTTATTACACCCAAGAACCGAAATATACAGTGTGTTTGAACAATTGAATGCATATTTTTATAACTAGGCCTGTATTATCATACACTGATTGCTTTACTGTTCCATATTTATCAGTTTTTTGTTCCTCCTGAAAAATTCGATAAAACCTTGTACTTGTTATACATGGAACTGACTGGCTCTTATAGGACGAAATCAAAGATCGTATACATTCAATGCATTGAGCCTTTACTTTGTTGTTGTTGTTGTTGTTGTTTGCTTTTTTGTGTTCGGCTTTACCCGCTCGTATATAATAAGGGAAGATTACATCAGTGACAGACCGTATCAAATTTGATCAATTCATTACCATTAAAAAGTAATTACATTCACATTTACCTGGAAATACAGACAGTGGGAACACAGTTTCAGTGGCGGTGGGTAGTGAAGGGCTTACGGGCTTGAGCCCCTCACCCCCACCCCGTCCCCACTCCAACTCTATCCCTTAGTTAATGAAAGTTTCTAAAATAACGAAATAAGCTGTTGAACCCGTTATGATCGTGCGCAATGAACACACAGTTATCAGCCTGGCGGCTTTCCCGTTTGTTCAATCATTGTTGTCACCGCTTACAACTATAGTAACCTAACAGCCAATCAAATGTCGTTAGGGCTCAGAAAGAATAAGCCGGTTCTCACGCCCGTCTTTAATGAAACTCTTCTTGTAAAAAGGTAGAAGACGTTAAAAAAAATAACACTGCACAGAGGGCTCACGCTCTCCCAGCCCTGACAATGGGATGAAAGTTTACGACAACTTTCCCCCAGTGACACAGATACCTATGCGCCCATAGGGCCTTTGTTAGGCGCGTTCTATTTTCCGCAACAACACGACCCAATCCACCTCATTGACGGTATGTGTTTGGAGTGCTGTGTGTTTGTGCCGCTGAGATTTAACAGTTATTAATTACATCAAACCACTTTTGAGGCAACTTTTTCTTCAGATAAAAACTAATTAGAGAAATTTGGAGGTGAAACGGCTTCGTCCCCACCATCCAGAAGAGCTTAGATTTAACTAAGAACAAAGAGATGGAAGACAAAGGTGACTCTTCTCGTTTGAATGGTTCTCAAAATGCCGTGGCTCGCCGTGAGTATAGAAAAATCATCACTTTTTGTTCTTATTGCTTGCTTTTTGGTGGTAAACAAGTGGAAGAAACCTAAGCCCCACCCAAATCTTGGTCCACCCACCGCCACTGGGAACACTAATACGATATGAGGTTTCAAGAAGTCTTTGGTCTCAATATGATTAGGAATAAAGATAGAGCTTTGTAACTAGGCACACATACGTTCAATTCTCTACATATTCACCAGACCATGCAGCGAGTAACACATTTCTGCCACCTCTCTTTGATATTCAAAAGTCCTTGAGTAAAAAAAATGACCCAGAATATGCCCCTAACCAGTCTTCCACAGCTTCAATGGTGTCCTCGTTGTCATGGAAACGACGTTTTTTCGATGATTTTTATAAAGATCAGGAAACAGGAAAAGGTCTGAAGGGGCTAGGTCTGGTGAATAAGATGGGTGTGGCAGGATTTCAAAGCCTCACTGTTCTGCTGTCTGGACTGTAATTGTTGTGCCCTGTGCCCGGGGGCGTTGTCATGCAGTGGGCCCCATTATGCAGTTTTCCGCGTCTTTTTCTCACCAATTCGGACCGCAATTTTATCAGCAAACCCAAATAGTAGTCCCCTATGACTGTTTTTTCCATTTTCCGGGTAGTCAGTCATGATGATACCTTCACAATCCCAGAAACACGACAGCATGACTTTTTGACGGTGTTACCTTTGCCTTCTTTGGTGGGGGAGAAGAAGGTGCTTTCCATTGTGTGGAAGACATTTTTTGTTTCTGGACCAAAATGATAAAATCCATGTTTGGGAATGCTTCATCCATAGTCACCATATTTTTTAATGAAACTTACGTCATTGCACTCAATTCAAAAGAGAGTTTTGAGAGTTTTTGAGTTAAGTATTGAACACACTGACTAGTGCCTTTGTCTGATTTTCCCGAAAATATGCATGGTGTGTTCCATGGAAATTGAGTAAAGGCTGGCGAAATTTCATTAGATATCTACTCTGCCACGATTCCTTCATACCCAGACCAAAGACTTATTGAACCCCCCTCGTAATAATTGTGTTCTTTAGTTTTGCAAAAAGTTTCAAGAGACATTTTCACATTCTACCAATATCATATTTTAGCTCCTTGGGTTGAAAATATTAGATTTCTAATTAACTGAATCCAATCAGCTGTTGATAAAGAAAGCAATCTGTTACCTCTAATAAAGTTACTATTTGGCCATCGTGATGACAACTTTGAACTTTGAAGTTTATCTCTCTTCATTTGTCTTATATTATTCTTCGAGGTGATTTGTAGAGAAAATCTCTACCTTGAAGATATTAGCCAACAACATTTGTATTGACAATGTCAATAAGAAAAATGCTAAGAAAGTCCCACAAAGTCTGAACCTGTACAATTTTTTCAGAGGTTTATGGGAGCAAAAAAAAAAAAACAGTCTAGACCGTCGCCTTCATGACTCTAACTCTAATTACGTGCAAACTGGTCTAGGTTAGAATAATATTGATTCAGTATTAATGCGCACTGACGTTGGCTTTGCATGTTCTACTAGGCCTTAGTGGGCCGGTACGGATGACAAATGCCCGGGCCGGTTTTAAGACCCAGTCCGCCCCTGGTAAAAGAGGACAGTAAGCTAATAAATAGGACAGGTGTCTGATAGGAAGGGGGGAGCAAATCATACCAGAACGCCCACCAACCACCCGGTTTGGAAATATACAACTTTTTATTTTGCTGTCTCTTATTTTGGTTGGTCACTTTTTTCTCCATGTCTCTCGCATTCACGATGCGTCGCACTGAAACTGAAAATACGTGTGTTTCATCTGAAAACTTTTTAATTGACACGTTCAAGGCCAAGATGAAAAAAAACATAGAATCATGATCAAGACAAAAACACACAATAATATACTCACAAGTGTAATCCTTGGAACTGATAAAAATGTAGAAATGGTAAATTATCCAAACGAAAAAAAACATGTAGCCTACGCCAAAGAACAATGATAGGTCTAACAATGCAGAGACTGGGGGACTGACCACTATAGACTAGACTATTAAAACTATTATAATATAATACAAAAAATACACACTAATCGGTTCTACAAAGTGAGAATGCCCCAGCACCTCTTTCTGCGCATTTGTCCATCGCCGCTTTTCACATTGATCCTTGTTCACCTTACCCAGACTCACCGTACGCCCTCGATGCTGGAGCCACCCGGCTCGGTTATGTGGCCTGTTACCGGCCCATTAAGGGGGGGGGGGGGGGGTACACCCCCAAGTCAAAATTCTGCTCAAAATTATGGAATTTAAGTTGTAGGCATTGTTAGATTCCTCAGCCTCTCCTACAACTATTTCATCGCATAAGAACCCCCCAAAACGGTATTTTTTCCCACACCGGGCATGTTTGTAACCGCCATTTCCTCATAAAGTCAGTATTTTATTTTTCTTTATCGGCCGTTTTCTCAAAACGCGATTTTTCTCTATACTTTTTTAAATAACTCCACTATTTTTCATCCAATCTTCATGAACTTTTCACAGAATGAAGAGAAGAGGTAATACTAAAAATTTGTCTGTTGAATTTTTGATATATATGGAATAGATTTTTATTGGTGGTGTCTGGAGTGTGGATTTTCATGGATTTTTAGCAAATTTGAATGCTATCTCAGGAAAAAATTCATTAGAAATTTTATATTTCGTTTAGGAAAAATGTTTATGAACACGCATGTTTAGATCTAATGTTTGTGAACACGAATGCAAAAAAACCCAATCAATTTCCATGAGCGATAAGTGCGGTATTCATTACGTAAGACATATCAACAAAATCCAATATGGCCGCCGTATCCATGGAAACTAATATTTTTTCTCAAATGTGATTGCGGATTTTAAGACTCCTTACTATGCTTGTTATATGTGTGAAATTTGGTAAACTTCGGTCCAGTAATAAGCGAGATAGCCTTCAGGTGCAGCCCCCCCCCCCCCCCCCCTTTAAGTCTTGAATAGTGAAATATACATAATATTATACTGTAAAATTTCTCTGGTCTAGCCTAGCCCTCTCAGCACCATGCCATGAACTAAAAATTAACAATCAGCTGGGCGGTCATGTGACAAACCTGAGTTAAACTACAGGGGAAGATTCATGCCTTGACTGAATAGGGCATCGTGTTTCAAGGCTACCGAGGATAGTGGAATGTCGATCTTCTGGTGAAGGAATCCTTGGCCCTCCTGTTGGGATCAACGGATAACACCCTCCCACTGACTTTAAAAATAGGGTCAAAACCTACTCTTTCAATCTGTGGGAGGAACACATGAGCGAACAACTTAACAAAAAAACTCCACAATATCTTGCCCAAATCGGACCCACGAAAACCTCCGGGTCTTTCCAGTAAGATAAGTTTGATTTTAAACAGACTGCTTATTGGACAGACTGAAGCATAGATGATATCTCCTGTAGGGAGAAGGAAAACCTTTGTGTGTGTGTGTGTGTGTGTGTGTGTGTGTGTGTGTGTGTGTGTTGTGTGTGTGTGTGTGTGTGTGTTGTGTGTGTGTGTGTGTGTGTGTTGTGTGTGTGTGTGTGTGTGTGTGTGTGTGTGTGTGTGTGTGTGTGTGTGTAGGATGCAATAATGACTTTACGATCGGACGCATTACATCTCAATAAATTTTATGTCCAGGCTTTGGGGTGACCCGAAGGAAATATTTAGATCTAATAATTTAAAGAATTTAATTTGTTCTCTATCGTTGATTTTTTTAAAAATTCGGTTTTTATTTAAAAATCTGATTAGTGCTGTTTTAAAATGTAAATTGCTGTTTTCTAAAAACTGATTTTTTATTATATATTTTGGTTGATTCAACCATTCTCACTCACATTGTAAAAACAAGCCATGCTTTGAATCAAACTTTGATCTAACGTCAATAGGAGATTGAATTTGTTGCACGGTCCTTGGCTAACGTTAAAAAACTAATTTGTGTGATGATGCACGCTCGTATGATCTCACTATATCGGTGCGAGCGCCGAAAAACTCTTGTGAAACTTAACTATAAAACCTTTTCTTTCTGGAGAATGGTTTAAAAGCTAGGCTTTCTCAGAGAAGGCCTCTAGTTTAAAAGTAATAAAAGACTAAATAAAAATCATTCATCCCAAACTTACCAAACAAACAATACACTTATTTTATATGAAATAAAATGAACTAAAGCATAAAATATATATACACAATAATACACACACACACACACACACACACACACACACACACACACACACACACACACACACACACACACACACACACACACACACACACACACACACACACACACACACACACACACACACACACACACCGCGTGTTGTGATGTCTTTGGCCAGGCCACGTTTTCATGAGACTTGAGGCCCGCTAGAAAAAAAAGGTGGAGGGGGGACTGGAGGGGGTGGGGGGAGAGAGAGAGAGAGAGAGAGAGAGAGAGAGAGAGAGAGAGAGAGAGAGAGAGAGAGAGAGAGAGAGAGAGAGAGAGAGAGAGAGAGAGAGAGAGAGAGAGAGAGAATGAATGGGGGGAGCTGGGCGGCCTAGGGGGAGAGCACTGGCATGGAACACACGGGCTTATTTCGAACTCTTTATTTTCATAAATCACTGGAGAACCTCAGATCTTGGTCACTCACTGCTCCTCACACATTGTCAACACAAAATTCAATCTTGTAAAAGTCTGTCCTGAGTCGATCTTATATTATATCACTATTGAGGATTATGGCAGGCATGGAGCTATTGTCCGACCAAGGATTTCGTATGGACGGTCGAAAATCCAATGAGTTGCGACGGATCCGATTTAAAAAAGGAGTTTTTAATCAGGCTGATGGTTCGGCCTATCTTGAACAGGGCAATACAAAAGTATTAGCCGCAGTTTATGGTCCACACGAGGTAAGATGTAAGACTTGTTGTTTAACCTACGTTTCTTAGTAGCATGATATGCTTAAACTTTGCCCTAAACAAGGAAATGAGGCCTATTTGAACATTAGCAGACCACCACTAGAAGAATCTACTCCAGTAGACTGAAGTTAATGTCTTAGTCTTAGCCTAGGGCAGGGCATGCTGGGGCTGGGTGACGATAGTAGGGTGAAGAGTGTTAGAATACTTACAGAAGGGGGGGGGGGTAGATGAGTAGATAAAGGGGGGTGCATGGCGGTTTGCCCCCCGGCTAAAGTCACAAAAATAATAGATCTAGATTCTAGATGTAGGCCTAGAGATCTAGTTTGCGGCATTTTTTAGTTTAAAAAAAAGTAGGCTAGTTCCGGCAGGTGGTCTGCTATTCTTCAATTTTACCGAAATAACAAGTGATGTACGCGTGAAGCTACAGCGAGCACCTAGCGCTCCTCTGTCATTTGCCCAAATTACTTGAATTACTTGAATCTAGATCTAGAACTGGGGTCTTAGGAAGAAGGGATGACGTATTTCAGCCACCTTTTTTTTTGTCGTCTTCCGGGGCTTGCCTCGCCAGTTGACTAGATCTAGATCTCACCGAGGCGGGCCTGCTTTGCCGCTAAGGGCGTGATGGGCTACGTCACTTGGTTTCATGGCCGACTGTTTGGGCTGTGTGTTTGTGCGTGTGCACGCGCACGCATGCGTATATTTGTGTGTGTGTGTGCGCCCTAATTGTGTGTGTGTGTGTTTATTGGGTACAACTTTGAGGAAAAGGTAAATTCATGAAACGAGAATTGCTGAGAACGTAATATATATATTGTAAAAGATAACACAAATTAATACAAAAACAAACACGGTGACATCTAGTTAGTCAACAGGTACTTGCGAGGGAAACCCAAGAGTCTTGGGGGAAACCCCGGAAGACGACAAAAATAGATGGCGGAAAAACGTCATCTATATATTGGCCAATCATGTGTGCTAGGTGCTCGCTGTAGCTTCATGTGTGGTGTACTGACAATGAATGACCGAGTGTACAGTAGCCTATTACAGTCGAACCTGCCTTAGCCTTTTAATGAAAACCCGTGTAAAACGGAGACCTGTCTTAACGAAATCTCTTCCCCCCCCCCTCCCCCCAATGATATATTTCTCTTCAATTACCTGCGTAAAACGGAAACCTGTTCAACGTGGGAACGGAAAGAAAAATCCACTCCCTTCCGAGGGTTTCACCTGTCTAAGACGGAAAATGCTTTTCCCACTCAGCCCTGATTTGAAACAAAACTCGCAAGTTTGGTTTCGCCGGCTCTAAACTTATCGCCGTGGCCATTCTGTTGGGCGAGGAAGGGGAGTAGGGGTGCAATTTCGGGGTAGATGTTACCCCATCATGTGAGCCCTGAGGGATGCAGATGGTCAGGGTGGTGTGGGTATGAAATCTCACGACGGCCCGTGAGAGTGCTCGAGTACCGAGCCTCTACAGAAACTTTCCTGGGTAGCCATATAAGCCAGAGGTGTGAAATTAGATTGGCCAATCCCTAATCGTACGGCCAGCCAAGAAAAGAGTTCTTCGAATCGTTGTTACATGATGGCAGTGAAGGGTGGCATTGGATGACTGTGCTTGTTACACCGGTGGGTCGGGCTAAGGGTGAAAGCAAAGGAGATGTTGAAACGTTTCTGTTTTTAATAGGTCAAACAGTGGTCCTATGAAAGCACATATGTGATAATTGGATGAGTAAGACTGACGCATGTCAGACAGGATAGAAATTGAGAGGTGTGAAGTTTTGACCACTGTTTGCCAATCGGACAAGCGATCCTTGTTCCTACCGGCTTGGCCTTTGAACCCCCCCCTTCCTTCTCCCCCTAAATTCCCCTGTCTAAGACGGAATTTTTTTCTGGCTCCCTTGCGATTCCGTCTCACACAGGTTTGACTGTATTATGATTGTATATAATGGTAGATCTAGTTTTGAACAGCTACCTCTACCCTACTAGGCCTACGCTGTGCTGCAGACAATCAAAGTAGATCTAGATCTCTGCAGTCTGCAGACCGAGAGTCCCCCCACTAATATGTGGTCTCACTGCCAGCAGGGGCAAAATATAATACTATAATCAAATAATCACTGCTCCCCTTCCATGGTTTGTGAATCTCGTCGCAGCCAGTTAAATTTCACTCATGTGTAGGCCATTATACCATATATATAAATTTAACGCTGTGACTACGTTATGTTCACGGCACCGTGAGAACGTAGTTTGCAGGCTATGTTCATGGCACCCTGAATGTAGTTTGCATATCATTAAAGTTTTTTTTCTCTGGGGCTGCACTGCAGTCAATTTACTGTGAATTGCTGTTTTACCTTTTCAGCGCTAATACTATCCATTTCTTTTATTTTTGTTGTAAATTAGATTTGTACCCCACTTTGCCACTTGTACGATGGTGATAAGTAAGATGAAAATCTAGATCTATATTTAGGACTCGTAGACTGACTGGGCGACGAGGTCACAAAGTGTGAAGTCAGGCTACCTAGCCTTGGCATCCGAAGAAACGACCATGTGGATCTCCTGGCGAAGGACCCTTGTCCCTTCTCTTGGTGTCAACGACAAACATTCTCCCTCAGTCTGACTTTAAAAATGAGTAAAGAACTACACCTCTTCCAGTCTGTGGGAGACACATTGGAAGAAACAAATTGACAATAAACTTCACAACATCATACCCAAACTGGGTCCATGAAAGCTTTCGGTCCTCTCCAGAAGAGACGAAGTCATTTTTATTCAATTACGCATCGGACACACCTCCCTGACACATAACTACCTCCTTCTGGGAGATGAGAAACCGTTATGTGTCAGACGCGACACAGATTTTACCATTAGACACATTTTAACAGAATGTCCAGACTTTGGAGAGACCCAAGGGAAATATTTTAAATGCAAAAAATTGCAAGATCTGTTCTCTGTCGTTGATCCCAACAGAATTCTCGATTTTATGAAGGCCATTGTATAATCAATTAAAGATAACATTATTTTAAAATTATTTTTTAAAGTGTTTTTTTAAAAACCAAGATTTTACTACAAATTTCTAACATTTTAATCGAAATACTGACCTAAACCAAGCCATGCTATGAATTACACTTGTTGTGAATGCAACCAACTTGTGTTTCGTGCGCTCATATGACCTTATGCTGTTGCGAGCGCCGTAAAACTCTTACTGGAACAAACAAAGAAAAGTGTGTGAAGGGTTTGATGGGGGTGTTACTTAACAGGTGCATACCATTTTGATCGACCGCTTGAGTAGCATCTTTTTAAAAAATCATTTTTCAAAAGTTGGTAGCAATGTATTTCACGTCACTATTTATTTTTGCTTCAGTAAGATCTGAAAGTCCTGTGTATCAGCCAAACCTTGTTTTAATGGGTAAAATATTGACATTTCTGTGTGAATTTTTTTGTGTTTTTATATCAAGAGTCACTTTAGGTGAAAGTGCTAAAAAATTTGATGAAATTGCTTGCTAATTTCATACTCCTGCTTATTTGTTGTTGTTTTTTCACCTATATTCATATATATATATATACATCCATATACCTCACAAAAATGTAACTTTACAGATCAGAGGAAGCAAGAGCAAAGCTCTTCATGACAGAGTTCTCATCAATTGTCAGTACAGTATGGCAACCTTCAGTACTCAAGACCGAAAGCGTCGTCCTCGAGGAGACCGCAAGTCACAGGAGATGACCTCTCACCTAAAGCAGACATTTGATGCTGTCGTGTTGACCGAGCTATATCCAAAGACACAACTGGATATATATGTGGAGGTACTGTGTTCTCTTTTTATTTATTTTTTGGGGGGTGGAGGGTTAAACTTCATGGTTGTGCCAAATTTTATTATCTTGAAAGTGTGAGGCTTCGTGGTGAATCAGGCCGTTGTCAAAATACAGTAATTGGAAAAGCAGGCATTTTTCTGAAAGTTTTGGAAATTTTTATCAAATTTTTATTTTTGGGCTCAATCTTGTTTATGGCGTTATTAAAACGTTTCCATGTGGATTTTACTGAAAGACATTGATTAAAGGCGCAAAATATGTCATTTTGCTGTTTTTAAGGACTTTTTAGCTATTGGACCTAAACTTTAGTGGCCATTTTCATTTTCTCTCCTAATTTCACCCCTGAAACCAGGTGACCTCACTTCCTTCAATCACAAATATCTTGAGTTCTATTCAAGTTAGTTGGATATCTATTTCATTGAAAGCAAGGCAAATAAATTAGCTTTAGGGTGATATTTATAACTCCACGTGCACAAATATAGACAAGCGCCTGATTCCATTGTGCCGTAACACATATTTTAATTTTATGAATGAACTGAATCAGAAAATGAAAGTGTTCATGAAGGTCGGTTTGATAACTTGATATGAATTTAAAATTTGAAAATGTTCGTACTGTAGTTTTAAGATCTCCAGTTGCTCTACTGTTTTTGCTTTTTAAAATTTTATTTATGCAAGACAAAATTTGAGAAAGAAAAAAGGTTTTTTATTTTCTTCTGAAAGGCAAAAAAAAGGCATTTCTTGCATTTTCAAGTATGAGTGAAATAAGGAAGAATGTGACAGATAGAGAACTTTTTGTTTCAGCAAAGAGAAGCGAAGCATATTGACATTAATAGTGATTTAGTAATGGGAATAAAGGTTAAGACAGTCTACACAGAAATTATAGTGGAAAAGGAAAAAGTGAAACCTATCTGTTGCGTTTTACTATCACTCATACAGAGAGAGAGAGAGAGAGAGAGTATCTTTATGGTTACTAAAAGCAAATTGGTAGGCTATTTCATTTGCTTGATGTTAATTTTCATTCTATTAAATTGTTTTTATTTAGAACTTTTTATGACCTAGGTCTTTTATTGACAAGGGACATGGTTTTCTTGAAATTATAATTATACACCTATGTATTATGAATCTTGTCTTGCCCATTCTAGTAGAAAGAACAGCTATTAGTACTTGCCATGGAGCAATTAAAATGGTTGATTGTTGTTGTTTTACTGTTTGTCGAAAGAACTACGTCCACTCATAAGCCTTGAGATTTTGTTTAAGTTTACTGCTCATTGAATACATTATATAGTTTTATGAAGGGCTGGGATGACTTCAGTTTCTTTTTCTTCCAAGGTTTACTTGAAGGATTTTTTTTCTTTTTCAATACTCTGTATTGTCACACTTATGCTTATTGGGGGCTCAGGAGCTTGACTTTTCAGCTTCATTGCAAACAACTTATTCTCCATTTTTACAGGTTGAGAATTTGAAAAAATTTTTACAAACTGAAAAAAACCTGCAACATGGTACTATTACATGACATGTTAATGCATTCTGATCAACTGTACAGGTTTTACAGTCAGATGGCGGTAATTATTGTGCTAGTGTGAATGCTGCCACGCTGGCCCTTATGGATGCTGGCATTCCCATGAAAGACTATGTGATTGCTTGTGCTGGAAGCTTCACACGAGAGACGCCCATCATAGACATCAACCATTTGGAAGAGTCAAGTGGAGGGGCAGAAGTTATCATGGCTATTTTGCCCAGGTGTGATCAGGTGAGACCATTTATGAAAACTTTTTATTGCCAGTTTGAGTTTTTTTAATGACTCATCACCTTTTTACCGCAAAGATAGATCGCACTTGTTACTGATATTTGTCTCATTCCATATCAAATGTTTATGGCGTTGTCTCCTTTTGGTCCTCAACAACTGTTTTAGTTATTGTCTTGGCTGTGCATATTCATCTTTCATGTACACTTCAGCCTCTTTATTTGATCAAACTGTTTTGTACCTTGAGTAACAGTGTATTTACAATATGTACACTTTTCATCTATTGACGTGTGTGGAGGTTGGTTTTTTTATAGTAAAGCTATTGTGAACAAACACTGTCTGAGGTTGGGTCTGTAGACAGTGAAGTACGAACAGCTCAAACAAAATTGAAGTTTATTGATCTCAATTATCAAAAAAGGATGAATCACCTTGATGGTTTTTGTTTTGTTATGCTGTAGTTTGTATTTAAAGAAAGATATTTCAGAAAGACTGATAATCATGAAGCTTTTGACATTTTTATGTACAAAAAGGATAGCAGGCTAGGATGACAGTGATTCCCTGGGGTTTTTTTTAATATGATGACTCTTTTGTCTCAAATATAAAGAAATTGAAAGAGGTTTTCTTTTTTGTGGTTTTGCAGATTGTGTTCTTAGAAATGAATTCCAGGCTACATGAGGATCATTTGTCAGCTGTCATGGATCATGTGATGGCTGGCTGCAAGGATATTTTCAATGTCCTCAATCAGCAGGTAAGGTTAAATTTTTTGGGGCCCAGAAAGGCTGTGGACTAGTTTTTTGAGGATTTATCATTTGACACCCTGTAGACTGCAAAATAATTATGTTAATGTGCATACAGCACAGTTAAAGTTTTACATATTTACAGGCACCCTTGAAATGTAGCAAACAGTAGTTGACATTTGGTGAAAACAAAACACTATTCAACGCACTGTGAAATATGCCTCTGCACGGCATCATGTTTTGTAAAGCAGCAAGCATTGCATCGTAGAGAATGAGTTAATATAGGTACATGACAAGCCTTTTGTTTAAATCGAAAGTAGCCATTCACTCACTCCTTGGTGATTACTAACATTTCATGTACTCGACAAATTAACAACTTTTTCCTGAGATATCTTCCTCCACAAACAACATTAGGTCTTACTTATAGCAATCTCAGTTTTGACGGAATATTGGGTATAGCGGGTTAATAATAAATCCCTGAGTCCAATCTCTTATAATGTTTAGTTTTAAGTTCTTTTATAGCAAGTATTTGGATAGACATTCTTGGCTATAACATTGGTCCGACCATCTACAAAGTCCTAAAACAAACGGACACGAAAACAGAAAAAAGCAAATGAAGCAAAATGAAATCCAACATGGTGAATTGCACCTATGTGACCCATGTTTTGTGTCATACCATGTGGCATGGGAAGGAGGGGGGAAAACTGGATACACTTTAGTGTTTATACAAATTTTCCTATCAGTGACTAAGCGTGACCTTGGTCTGGCTCCACATGGTCACATTGTCTCTCAGTGTGGTCGCGAGACTTGTCACAGGAATAAATGATTAAATGAAAAATAGACTGGCATTAGATTCATGTGTTTGTAACTTTTTGATTATGAAGTGTTGAAAAGTGCACGGAGCATGGATATAAGCAATATGAATATCATTGTTATTTTTTAAAATGTTCAGTCCCATTTATTCGAAGTTTGCCTTCCTACAAGTAGAGTATTGTCCATTTTGGTGCATTTGGTTTAGAACTTTCTCATCAAAGTGAAATTTCTTTGTTCAAATTAGAGTGAGATCAGAATTTTGCTTACCTTTTCATGAATACTTTTTCCCCTTCCTGAAATACTGTCCTCTACATGGTTTCATAATCAGGGGCTAAGTGCTTCACCTTCAAAATGACTTGCATTATTTGTGTAGTAGGCTGTTTTACTGTAATGAAAGCAAAAGCAGGCACATGAAGATTGTCTTTGAAATAAAAAAGTTTATCAATGAATTACTAATGACACAGGAGAAATCACAAGTGATTGGGGTATGTTAGTGAAAAGACAGAGTCACGGAGTTGCTTTATTTCTTTCTTTATGCCACTAAATGTGTGTGAGACACGATGGGTTCTCTGTAACCATTTGCTGCCATGTTCCATGTTTGTGGAGAAATCAATCAAGTATACAACTAGCCTGCATACCCGTTCTATGAATGGAAAATAATTTTTTCTAGACAAAAATTTATTTTGCGATGTAAATAAAAATGTCAGTACTGCAGTAATTTAAACAGTTATTTGATTAAAACAGGATGGTTCTATTTTATACATGAAAAAAAAAAAAGATTTTTCGAAAGTGATACTCACCTAAGACTGATGTATATTGTCCAAAACTTCTGGATATACAACATTCCTGGTTTGACTGTTGGGTGCCAAGATGTGAACAGCATCTTTATCTCCAGTTCGGAACATGGCTACATACAACATTCCATGTGAAAATACTGTGCATGGGAGATCTAGGCCTACTGAACGAAGAGAGTGTCCCTGAGCTTTATTAATTGTAATGGAAAAGCATGGTCCAAGGGGAAATTGTTTTCATTGGAATATAAATGCTAGTCCACTGTCTGTTGGTTGAAGTATAATTCGAGGATTCCAGTGTTTTTCATTCTTGTATGTTCCAGAAAAAATGTCAACCTCAACGACGTTCGGCATGGTTTGTGTTACAACACATCTCGTACCATTCTTTAATTTACGTATGTCATGGCATCCTGTTGTCTTTCAAACATATAACGTGGTCCACCTGTGAACGTTGCTGGTAACACAACTTTCTGTCCCATATTTCTGAGATCACCGTCTGTTGAAAAATCACGTAGACAAGCAAGTATTGTCAAGACTTAGATCAGCATCATTGTATGTAAAGGCTGGTGGATTTCTACTGAGCGTATCAGTATCAGGTTGATGTTCTTTTTCCTCTTCGTTTACTTCATGTTCTTCTTCTCCCTCTGTATTTTCAGTGTTCACACCTGATCTAGATCTAGATCTACTCTGCCTTTGTCTCTTAGCCACAGGTGTCGTTCGTCCAGTGGCTCACCATTTGGGTTTCATAGTGATTTTATTCTCTTCTAGATCTAGATAGATCTAACTACCAACACACACACACACACACACATCTGATATACTGTTTTCGTCTCTTAGCCACAGGGCCACAGCACACCCTCTAAATTAAAATCAAAAAGCCACAGCACAGGTGCCAATCATAATCAGACTTGCCGTTTGGTGGCTTAGTATCTCTAGATCTACCACAGAAAAGTAACTCTCTGTAAGCGATCTGCAACATCTCAACCAAAGATTTGTTTATTTCCGGCGGAAGAGCAATTTTTATATCATGAAAAACGAAATATGTCTTGAACACTACATTGAAATGGCGAGCGGGAAAATCGTATATGGCTGATTGAGTTTTCTATTTCTATACATTTTTTAGGCGAATGCAAGCACTTACTGAATTGATAGAAACTTTGCTTGGTCTTTGAACTACCTTTAGTAATTTTTTCATGGTTCTACGTTACATAGTTTTTTTTAGCTATAGAAAACAACCATCCACATATACACAATTATATAAATGGAGTCTGCTTAAACCAAACGTGTTATATCCGAAAATAGCAATTAACAGAAAGAAAAGAATATTTCTTCTGTTTCAGCAACCTCTCCAAACGCTGCTAAACCAAAGAAAATCCGGTGGTCCCATAGATTACTGTTTAAGCCAACTCCATTGTACGTCTTTTTTCATTATGTTGTTCCTGTCTTTATTTGATTAGATCTCATTTGTGAACTGTGGGTAAACTCTTCAATGTAGCCAATTCTCAGTTCGCTGTAGGCAAAAGCAGTTTGAAAGCACTTTAGCCGTTGTCTGTACATGTCACTCTTTGTTTTCAGGTCAGAGAAGAGCTTGTGAGAAGAACAGTTCAAGACAGCCTGGTGGATTCAGGGTGATATGAATTTTTGACATGCTTTGGGGAATTGGGAAAATCAACAGTGTAATATGTATACTGCTGGGATGAATGTTTCTGTACAATCTATTTGACTAAAGTACCATTATCAAGTGAGGTCGGACTTGTAAATAGAACCGACAATACATGGACTGTCAATGGAGGTCATGAATAGATTTGGGCAAGTGCTTATCCAGCAGCAGTTCTCGTATTCTCTTCCAATACTTGATGTTACATGTAAAAGTAGAAGAATACAACATAATTAATCTATCTGAATCCTGTTTAGCAGGGATATTCAACATTTTCTTGCTATTGGCAGCATGAACATAGTCAAAGAGAAGTCTGATCAGTCATGCTCATGTCCAGTATGTGCTTCTGTTTGCATGAATATTGAGGTAGTGTTTTTATTAGGCGTACCGGATACAATTTAGAGAGAGTGTGGGACAGAGCGAGAGAGAAAAAGAGTGCCCATTTAGGTGTTTTTGAAAAGCAGAACAAGTGTGTGCATATTTTATGTTCATGTCTAATTGACAATTGAAAAAGGAATGGGGAGGAAGTGGGGGTGGGGATTGAAGAAACTTAATGTTTAACAGTAGTGAATTCATGAGTTACCTGTGTTATACAGGATCACAAAACACTGCCAGTTTTCTCAATTACAGACCTGTATCTGTTACATTCATTGTATAAGATGAGATGATTGTGTTTCAATATTTGTGTTACGAAAAAATAAACTTCCTGTAACAAAAACAAGCTTGTGTATGAGAATCTTTCTTTTTTGTTTTCTTATGTCCTACTCTGTACACTCCGTATTTATTATTAATGCATGCGGGCCTGCTCTGTACATTCCTTAATTTGTAACGACGGTATCAGCATCGTATAGAACACCCATATGATTCATTGGTCTCCCCCTATAATATTTGCCTGAATAAACCTTGTACTGATTTTGCTCAACTTATTTTACTTGCCTTAGACAGAACATAGTTGGAATGTGAAGGTGTCTATTGTGGGAAACTTTTCTAGGTGGCCTTTTTTTATCCCTTTTGATAAATTCAAATGGTGAATTGGTATAGGTTTAAAGCCCCTATCAACACTATTAGGTTATTTAAGAGGCGGGACCTCCAAGTTTATTGTCCATCTCGGAAAGGACCGAGCCAAGTGGGAAATTCGTGTAAACTGCCTTTCCCAAGAACACAGCATCGGACCGAGCTGATGATCTCACCCCCGAACCCGCAATCTCACGATTACGAGTCTGGTAGCCTAACCACTAGGCCACCGACGTCACTTTTGATAAATTGTTATGCATTGAAACCTGTATAAGGCGGTGACTGTTCCTGCTGGACACTGTATAAATACTGGTTCTCTTTTTCAATTTGAACAACCGGTTTCTAGTCTAGGACATTATTTTTTTTAAAGAAATTTTTAATTAAGACAAAGGAACAGACCTCTGATTCCCAGCACTTAGATCAAAACCTTATTCATCGCTCATTGAAGACATATTGTTTTAACCCATTGAGGTGGTAGCACTAGTGCACCGGTGGCACGCTTCGGTCAATACTCCATAGCACCGGTTCACCAGTGTGAAGAAAGAGTGCTAAATTATCGTTCAGAAAAAGGCAGCAATACTGTGGAAACATTTATAACGGGACAGGTAAAAACAGGGATCTGGTAATAACAGGATTTTTTAAAATCCCTGTTTTTTCTTTCTCTTTACCTCTATTAAATTTTATTGGCTATAACAGGGATTCATCAGAGCCTAATCGGTTATTACAGGGATACAGAGACTTCTTCAAATGCGGTACCGTTTTTTTAAAATTATGCAGTCATGATTTCTTTATCTTCTACAGCCAATATATGGCCTAGATTATGGGTCTGTTTCGCAAATGGGATAAACGGTGAAGAGAAGGGGAGTGGGAGCATACAGATGAAGTTTTGGGGGCATAACTTCATTACACAAGCAAATGTTTTGATTTTGTTTTCTTCATGTAGAGCTATCTGAGACTTTAAAAAAGCGTGTAAAGGTATGCGTGCTATTGAATATTCAAAACTATTTTTCTGATTTTGTTTGCTGGTTTGAAATATGTCAGTGTTGCCTTTGCTGTGCTGCTTATCGGACATATGTATCTGCTACGTCCTCAAAGAGTTACCTGAAAAAGCCTAACAATAGAACTAGCCCCGCGCTCAGAGCATAGTCTGTCCCGACCCGTGGATAGCAACGAGCCCACGAATAAAAATGCTGGATTTGTCCATGCCCCTTGCATATTTCTGAGATTCTGATTTAATAGGGCTCTGTTATAACAGGGATTTTTCTCTGGTCTCACTATGCATGCTATATCAGGTTACTACTGTATTTGATAAAGCAAAACGCTAGTTTCTGTCCACATGGGATACCGACATATCTCTGCCCTTTCACATATTGTTGATCACATTCTGTGCTGATGTAGTGAGTTGTTGTTGTTGGGGGTTTGTTTTTTTTTTGGGGGGGGGGGTTCACAATGAAGCACTTTGTCCCTGAACCTATGAGATCAGGAGGCCAGGACTTGGGTAAAATTAGGATCAAGACCCCCGGGGCTCAAAGCCTTAAAAAAAAAGAAGTATAACGTCTCTATTCATACAGATGTTTGTTTTTCAACCGATAAAGGCAGGCAACGACATGCGTGAAACATGCAAATTTGTGTTTCTGATTCGTTATAATATGGTGGTTCAAAAGGTGCTGCAATATTGCCTTTGGTCTGCAGATCAGACATTTAAATGTGTCCGCTACATCCTTAAAGAGTTAAAATCTGCCATTGGAGAATGAAAACGTTTTTGCTACGGACTGGTTAGAAAGGACATAACATAAAGTGTAGCTCCTCCAACTGGAGGAAAGTCATAAATTGCAAATTGAAAAACTAGAAGCTGGGGACTGGTAAAATAAAGGCGATTGATTTACTGGAAAGGTTAAAATACTTTGCATTAATCTTTCAAACTCAGAATTTTAACATAAGATGTATCAAATGTGCTACGGCACATGTACCTAACGGGATCAAAAAGTGATTTTGTTTTATGAAAATGTTGTCGGTCAGGCGGTTGAATCACGTGGCTAACGGCATGCTCCTTCCACATGTATCAGATCTAAATTTCCTGGCTTATAGAGGGCCCTCACATTCCATGTTCCGATTTTTAAACATCTCCTTTAATTCTCTGGGTGGCCACCGTCAGACTTCAGTGGCGTCTATAGCCTCGTGGTTGGGCTACCGGACTTGTTATCGTGAGATTGCGGGTTCGGGGGTTCGAGCCTCAGCTCGGTCCGACGTTGTGTCCTTGGGAAAGGCACTTTACACGAACTTCCCACTTGGCTCGGTCCTATCGGAGACGGACGTTAAATTAGGAGGTCCCGCCTCTTAAATAACCTAATAGTGTTGATAGGGGCGTTAAGTTAAACTCATACCATTTCATCGTTTCACCGGACTTGTAATCGTGAGATTGCGGGTTTGGGGAATCAAGCTTCAGCTCGATCCAACGTTGTGTCCCTGGGAAAGGTACTTTACACGAATTTCCCACTTGGTTCCGTCCTTTCGGAGATATACGTTAAACTCAGAGGTCCAACCTCTTAAATAACCTAACAGTGTTTATAGGAGCGGTAAACCTACACCTTTTCACCATTTTCACCGTCAGACCCAAGACTGACCACCTCCCCCATAGGAATTCAGCTGCTACAAGGAGGTTATAAATAGTTCTTCTAGGATCCTTAGGTTGACGTCATCATCACTAGTCCTCGTTAGTGATGTAGTCCTTGTTTCTTCCCTGTTTGCTTTTAAATTATAACAGGCATCGTCCTTGCAGAGGGACCCGAGGTGTTTGTATGATAATTCTTTTCCTTACTTCTGCGGTCATTACATACTTTCTTTTGGGATCATACGAGGTAAGTTTACTATCTTCTCCGCCGTGGCCGCCACAATCGTGTTCTGGGTCTTGACATGCCCCAGTGTACCACACAACGTGATATCGTGCCTCGAGACTAGAGCATCCATACTTCTGACCTAGATTTTTTTTTAAACCAAGGCTTATTTGGGAGAATCTATTCACGTTGTGCTCAAATGGAAGCTTTTACTTCTCCATGAAGGAACATCTTTGCTTACTTCGAATTTGTCAAAGTCTAATGTGCGATATAAAGTTGGGAAAGGCTAAAGGGGAAGCCAGCATGACACAAAGAGGGATTATTTTCCCCTATCAAATATAAATCAGCAAAGAAATGACTCACTGTCCCAAAGACGACAAAATATGTCACAAACCGTGCTGTGATCAGTAAGCGGGTGGTACAGCAGATAAAGTAGACCTACTCTTACCTAAAACAAGATGTAGAAAAAAGTATTCTGAGAGAAAGAAAAAAGTACACGTACAAGTATGTGTACCAGATAAACACAATCACAGCAACAACATCCGAGATTGAATGCAACGTGAGTGTTAAGGAAGTAAACATACTTTCGGTTCTTATTGGGCAGTCCTAGCATAAAGTAAGGCTTTGGTAGCCCAGTGGTTAGACTCGTGAGATTGCGGTTTCGGGGGTTCGAGCCTCAGCCCGGCCCGACATTGTGTCCTTGGGCAAAGCACTAAACACGAATTCCTTCTTGACTCAATCCTTTCGGAGATAGATGAACGTTAAACTCGGAGGTCCCGCCTCTTAAATAACTTAACAGTGTTTGTAGGGGCTTTAAACATTGGGAAAACTGCACTAGGTGCTACCACCAGACCTAGGCGCAAACACTTTAATTCAATATCTTCTAAATAAAGAAGAAGAGTGTAAAAAATTAACCAGGCATCTTCCCTTGGGTTGTGTGTTAGCTTACAATCCAGTTCCTTTTTCATTTCACCGTTTATTAAAGCTGGTAGGAACTTTATTTTTTTTTTAAGTTTTTGTTGAGAAACTTGGTTTGTGAGATTTTTTAAAGGTAGGTTGTTCAAGGCAAGGGGAGATTTTAAAAAAAGAGAAAGATAGTTTCGGTTTTCAATGCTGTTCTTTTCTTCAAGATGAGTCATTGATTATTTAAATTTGCTACTGATTGTTATAAAGCATTCGCACTACAAAAGACAGAGGAATCTCGGTGGCTGCACCAAGGGCATGGCGAAATCACCTCGGAAAAGCCATACCATTGTTAATTTTGCGGAGCGATACCGTTAGCATCTTACTTGCAATAAACATAGTTTAAATAAACCAAAGATCAGTCTAGCAAGTACAAAGTAAAAAAAACAACCAACATGCCGAAGAGATCCCGGATGTTTTAATATAACATTCTTTGTATTCAAAATACACGTATATAGTGGTCATAGGGAAGAATTCGTATAGCAAAAACAAAAAATGGCATCAGCTAGGGAAGATGTAATTAATAAATTGCTTTTCTGTGCAACTTCATCAAGACTAGTTGAAGAGGAAGTGCGTGGACACGCGTGCTCAATGCACGTGCCTTCGCACGACTGCAGATTTTCGACATGCAAATATAACTGTTTGTTTTCAGCCCCAGTTTTAGTTCAGTTGTTGTGAGGGGTTTTCAAACTAAACCCTACATGCTCTTGTAATTCATTCAAAAACAAATTACGTGTATATAATTTCCTTCTCGATATTCCATTTCTTCAGTATCTTTGAACATCTGGATACATTTAATTCACGTAATGGTGGCAGATAGGGGGATTAGACTTATTAGTTACACCAAGGGCTATCACTGGTTGCACCAAGGCCATGTGGTTGCACGCTGGGCGAAAAAGGCAAATAGTAT